TGATATCATAAAATCCCCTTTTTTTCCAATCATCTTAGGTATCAACTGGTTACAAACTCATAATCCCTTCATTCGTTGGGCTCCCTTTACTCTCTCCTTTGACTCAGATTATTGTAAGGACAATTGTCTCCCACAAATTCCTATACTTCAATTAAAACAAGAAACCTTAATACCAGAACCTTATTCTGATTTTTCTGATGGATCTCGTAACAAAAAAGCTGATGCTCTTTCCAGAATTCCATTTAATCCTTCTTCAGAAAAGAAAACCTTCTCAATATTGTCAAACAATAAAATCATTGCACTTACAACTACTATATTGGATGAACTGAAACAATTATCTCACAGGGAACTTGAGCTACCTTCTACTCCTAAATTGTTCAAAAAAGATGGAATCTTTTATTTCAAAAATAGAATTTATATTCCTCCAAGACTCCGAAACAATATTTTGAAATTAATTCATGATTCTCCTCTTGCTGGACATCCAGAAATAAAAAAGACCATTGAACTCTCTACTAGACAATATTGGTGGACTCGTCAAGACAAAACCATTGAAACATATGTAAAATCTTGGCTGTAAGTGGAGTGCTCCAAGTGAATAAACTCACCCCACTCTTGGTCTATATAAAATGACCTGTATGTGGGGATAGAATGAACAATAATATAGTGTAGTATATTGTAGATATTATTGAGAATAATAGTGGAGAATATGAAACCACTCACATGGTTCTGAGCCTTAACGGGACAGGCTCAGATCTCTCAAGCAGGCGTGTTTTAGGATCACACGAAACCTATATATAGGCAGAATGTTCTTGATACCTTCAACGGATAGAAACCACAATATAGTGTAGTATATCAGCATAAATATAGTTGCCAAAAAGTTGAAAATTGCTCACCTGGTTCAGAGCCTAAATCCTGGCTCTGAATGTATAGCTTTATGTGTCAGAAAGGGGACACAAAACCCTTTTGGATAAATAGCAGGAACACAGGATACTGGAATCAACAGTGGATTGTAGGAAAAACAATTTATTATAAAATATAGACTAGCTATAACAAAAATTAAAATAGAAATTAAAAACTATATAAAAATACAGTATAAATATAGGAGAGTCCTTTATCTTGTTGATCCTCCGAGACGCGTTTCGCCCAGCGGCTTTTTCAATCGGTGTTTTCATCTGTGTTCCGGTTTTCTTTTTATATCCTCAAAAGAGCCTTCTTTAATTGCGGATGATCGGCGGCTGTGTTGCGTGACGTCATTTCCGCATGTGTCATCATCTAGAGCGGTCGCATTTCAATTAGTTCGTACACCTATGAGTCTTTGATCGCCATCTTGTTTGAGGGCAAAATGCGATCGCTATATATACGTCAAGAGTCTCTCACATAGAGACATCGTAAAGGGTAAAGACAGATAGATAAAAAGATTACTTACATGAGATATTCACATGGTAATATTTAAATAAACTTATTGCCTTTAATACTATCATTTGTGTGTTTCTTTTTCTTTACCTATACCACTAAAGACACTACACTCCAATATTTATAAGGCATATACAAGCCACCTTTTAAGGTTATAATTTTAGCATAATATGTATCTAGGCCTATGGCAGGATTTAAATATATATAGATTGTAACAAGATAATATTCAATCTATATGTCGTAGATAAAGTGGACTATCTAAGATCTAATGTCAATATATATCCATATCTCAGAGTAATGATAGCCTTGAATCACAGGCTGTCATCACCTGCCTCTTAAAGGGATAGGATTCATTAAGTGAGAAACTGGAAAGGAAAAATTTGTACATCGGTACATATATATATATCAATCTATGTGTCTTTATAGATAGTATTATTGATACAGCACATACCTGTCTCTCCACACTTAAAGTGCCATTATGTTAACGGATAAATAATGAAATATATAGACTTATATATTAGGGAGTGGACTGTGGTAGCATATATGATATATTAACAAGCAAGTTCCATCACAAAAAATGACACAATTCGAAGTCATTGTTCAATCCGTGAGGTAGCATGGTGTTTAAATTAAAAATCCACCTCATTTCCATTTGGCCCAAAGATTGTATTACATCTCCACCTCTCCAATTTTGGGTGAGTTTTTGTATCCCCATAAATTGGACTAATTCGGAATTCTTCTGATGGAATTTTAAAAAATGGAGAGAGAGGCTGTGTTTTTCGAAACCATTTTTAATGTTTCTAATGTGTTCCAGTATACGTACATGGAGGGGACGGATAGTCCGTCCTACGTATACAAGGCCACAAGGGCATATAATGTTATAAATGACTTTCTTAGAGTAGCATGTAATTAATTCGTTTATTTTAAACTTCTGTTCCGGATTCTTTGGATGTTTAAAAGATGTTATATGTCTTTTTTTATTTTTAGTATTTTTGCAAGCTGTGCAATTACCACAGCCAAAGAAACCTTTCTTGTCAGTCAAAAAGTTGAGCTCCTTTTTTGTTTTAATGTGATTATGTACTAAAGTTCTATTTAAACTCGGAACACCTCTGTAGACTATAGTAGGTCTATCTGGGAGTATAGAGTTTAGTATATGATCATTTTTCAGAATAGGCCAATACCTATTCAAAATTCTTTTAACTTGTTTATTATTACAATTAAAATCACATATAAATTCAGGATCTTTTTTATTTGGGTCATTATTCTTTTCTTTATATGTTAGCAGTGACGATCTTTCTTTCAGTTTAACTTCTTCATATGCTTTACTTAATAATGAGTCTTCATATCCTTTATCCCTAAAGTTTTGTAGAATAGTCAATGCTTGATCTTGGAAGATTTGGTCATTAGTACAATTGCGTTTTATTCTAAGCAATTGGGCCTTTGGGGCATTGAGGAGCCAAGGGGAAAAATGGCAGCTGTTCTGATGTATATAACTGTTAACATCTGTTTTCTTAAAAAAAGTATTAGTTTTTAACAATCCGTCTTCTACGTATATATTTAAATCTAAAAAGTGTACCTGAGTTTTACTAAAGTTGGTAGTTAATTTTATTCCCCAATCATTCGATTCCAGGTGGGATAGAAAGGTTAGGAGTGACTCTTCATCTCCTTTCCAAATAAAGAATAGATCATCAATATATCTGCGATAGGTCACGAGGTTCGACTCCCATCTATCGTCACTGTAAATGAATTGGTGTTCCCAATGGGACATAAAAAGATTCGCATAGCTGGGAGCGAACCTCGTGCCCATCGCATTACCACACTGTTGGAGATAAAAATTATCCCCAAACCAGAAATAATTATTGCGGAGTATCCAATCTATACCGCTGATAATGAAGTCTATCTGTTCTTGATGGAATTTTTGTGAACGTTCTAAAAATGTTTTGGTTGCTAAACAGCCCCTTTCATGGGAAATTATAGTGTATAAAGATGTTACGTCAGACGTCACTAAGTAGAAATCATCCTGCCATTCAATGTTGGTAAGAACCTGTAAGATACTAATAGTATCCTTCAAATAGCTAGGGCATTGTTGTACAATAGATTGTAAATTTTTGTCGATGTATTGTGATAATCGACTTGAGATAGATCCTATTCCAGATATTATAGGTCTTCCTGGTGGATTTGTTTTATCTTTATGAATTTTCGGGAGGTAATAAAATACCGGTATCTTAGGGTGTGTGATACTTTTGAGGATATAAAAAGAAAACCGGAACACAGATGAAAACACCGATTGAAAAAGCCGCTGGGCGAAACGCGTCTCGGAGGATCAACAAGATAAAGGACTCTCCTATATTTATACTGTATTTTTATATAGTTTTTAATTTCTATTTTAATTTTTGTTATAGCTAGTCTATATTTTATAATAAATTGTTTTTCCTACAATCCACTGTTGATTCCAGTATCCTGTGTTCCTGCTATTTATCCAAAAGGGTTTTGTATCCCCTTTCTGACACATAAAGCTATACATTCAGAGCCAGGATTTAGGCTCTGAACCAGGTGAGCAATTTTCAACTTTTTGGCAACTATATTTATGCTGATATACTACACTATATTGTGGTTTCTATCCGTTGAAGGTATCAAGAACATTCTGCCTATATATAGGTTTCGTGTGATCCTAAAACACGCCTGCTTGAGAGATCTGAGCCTGTCCCGTTAAGGCTCAGAACCATGTGAGTGGTTTCATATTCTCCACTATTATTCTCAATAATATCTACAATATACTACACTATATTATTGTTCATTCTATCCCCACATACAGGTCATTTTATATAGACCAAGAGTGGGGTGAGTTTATTCACTTGGAGCACTCTACTTACAGATTGGATTTGGTTTTTGTACCATTCCTTTCACTTTCTATACGTTATCTTGTGTCAAGTTGTGAGAGGTTTGCACATTGGTGGTAGCAGCACAATTTTCCCACTACAATAATTATAAGCGCCTGTATACACATTGTTTCTGTTTTTTTGTACATATGTAAAATCTTGTCCAGTTTGTCAAATGTCCAAAGCGGAACGTCACCTTCCTTATGGATTATTGACAGGATTACCAGTACCTGGGAGACCTTGGCAATCTATTTCCATGGATTTTATGGTGGAACTCCCTCCTTCTCAGAAATACACCACCATCCTTGTTGTCGTAGACCGTTTCACAAAAATGTCACATTTTATTCCTTTGAAAAAGTTACCCTCATCCTCTGAACTTTCCAAAGTTTTCATTGACAATATAATCAAATTACATGGATTTCCTGAAGAAATACTCTCAGACAGGGGTTCTCAATTTACTTCACATTTTTGGAAGGAAATGTGTACTTTACTTCAAATCTACTGTAAACTCTCTTCAGCATGCCATCCTCAAACAAATGGTCAAACAGAACGAGTCAATCAATGTCTGGAACAATACCTTCGTTGTTACTGTAAGTATTTACAAGATGACTGGAGTAATTGGTTACCAATGGCTGAATTTGCCTATAATAATTCCATACATTCAAGCAGCAAAATGACTCCATTCTTTTCAAATTATGGATTCCATCCCTCCTTGTTTCCTGATGATCCCAAGACAACTTCTAATCCAATGGTTTCTATTCAAAATATGGAAATGTCCTCATTGTTCAAGCAATTAAAGAAAAACCTTAAAAGTTCTATGTCCTTATATAAAAGGAGTTATGATGTTAAAATTAGAGATCCTCCTAAATATAAAATTGGTGACACTGTTTGGTTATCTTCAAAAAATATTTCTACTAACCGTCCTTCTAAGAAACTAAGTCCTCTTTTTCTTGGACCTTTTCAAATTGAATCCATTATTAATGAAAATACTGTGAAATTGAAACTTCCTCCATCACTTAAACTTCATCCTGTTTTCCATGTTTCACTCCTAAAGTCTTTTCTCCCAGATCCCTTCCATAGGGAACAATTGGTGAAGCCAGACCCCATTGAAGTTCAAGGTGAATTGGAATATGAAATAGAAAAAAGTATTGACTCCAGACTTCATAGAGGTAATTTACAGTACCTTATTAAATAGAAGGGTTATGGAGATGAAGATAACACCTGGGAGAATTCCTCTGAAATGCATGCAAAGAAGTTAATTACTGCATTTCAGAGAAGGTACCCTCAGAAACCGAGGTAACAGCACACGGAGTGTGCTCCTTAGGTGGGGGGACCTGTCATGCGGTAACACTTCCGGGTTCGACACTTCCGCGATGCGGAGCTGACCCCGCCCCCCTCTGATGCGGCTCTAACTGTACTTAAGCAGTCCGCACCAGAGAGAGGGCGTTTGGTGATTGTGTGACCTACTTCCGCCATACTCGCCGGCTCCCAAGGCTCTGACAATGTGGGACCGACTTCATGGTATACACGCCGGCTCCATAGACTCTGACAAGCCTTTCTAGCCTTTGAGCTAATGCATGGATGATACTGCATGCCATGGAGGATTACTGGAGAATTGATACTTGTTAATTATCAAGTGGACTATAACTTTGAACTCTTGGAGGATAACTCACCTTAACCTTAAGTATACCTTTCAGCTATTCTCTGCTATCTCATTTATTGATAAACTATTTACTGCTTGCTTAAAACTTCACTGCTTCAAGCTACTAATTATATGGAGGACAACTTCCACCAAGCTTAATCACTAGGAACTGTTTCTTGCTTTGCAAATACTTTGCTACCTGCTAAGTATCATTATTGAAGATTATTCCTAGCAACCTAATGAATCTTATTTAATATATCTCTGAGAAAATACTTATTGATGAACTTTGTATTGTTTAATGAATTTCACTTATTCTTATTGGATTATTGCCTAAATGCAATTCATTAAGTGTAACAATTATTAAAACTTCATTTGATTCTCAAAGTGCCAGCAATCCTCTCCTTTCTTAAAGCTACAGTATTGATACTTTAAAGATTCTCCGTTTCTTCACTATTGTAATTAGGAAGTTTTACAAGCTGCAGTTGAGTTCCAATCCAAATCATCCAAGTAGCATAACAGAAGGCAACCTATGGCACGTGTGCCATGCACAGCACTCAAGGTGACTTTGCACTCAAGGCTGCTAGAGCCAAACAGGCTCTGTCCTATCAGGAGTCCCAGTGAGTCTTCAGATATCTGCTAATACGAAAAGATGGTGAAGGACAATCCTCAATATATAGGTAGAAAACGGATCAGCGCTGCGTGATATGGGGTTCCCTCTAAAGTCCTCAAAAGAGAAATGGCAAAAACAAGAATAATAGGTTGCGCTACAAAAATAACAAATGGAAAGGGATAAGTATATTGTACTAACAAACACTTTAAAACATAAATAAAGAGAATATATAAAAAAAAAAAAATTTAAATATATAAAAAAATGATAGTTCAAATACTTGATATACTTTTGGTAAGTTCAAATGAATGAATGATAATTACAGTACTTGGTATATTTCTCTTTCAGGTTCCGGTAAGTATATGAGGGTAGTGAGTCCAATAGGGGACTGGATCTTCTAATCTTTTAGAGGAGTCTTGATTCGGAGGTGAACATGGAAAATATAAACAACAAAGACGATCCAATAGTGTAGACTGTCTATTAATAGGAAGAATGATAGGTAGGTAATACACTCACCTATCTCAGAGCACAAACTCGCTCTAGTGTGTTGGGCATTCAGTGGCGTTTATCCCCCACTGGTAGGATATAGGTGAAGATAATTCCTCGGTTGTAGAAAGGAGATAAAAGCAGAATATAGTGCTCACTGGATATAAGTAAAATAAAATGAAATAAAAGAATAAAAATACTCACATTCGGATGAGCAGGATAGACTGCTCAATATAATCGCATAGGTGATACAATCCCCACCCAGGATTCTTGGTCGTGGGTAGACTCCAAGATAATATATGACCAGGTAACAGGAAATTTGTAAAAGTGAAATAAAAAGGTATATGGCAAAATTATTATAAAAAAGCCACTATTCCTTTATTAGTACAGTAAAAAAATATATATAAAATAGCCAAAACGCGTTTCGCCACACAGGGCTTTATCAACTGGCAATAGTATAAGTCAGCCTGGTACATAAATACTTATATAAACTTTGCTAAAACATGCTTATTCAAATTTTGGCGCCAAAATGACGTCATCAATATAATATGTAAAAAGCAGAATCATTAAAAACATAAAAATACGAAATGCATAATGTTAATAAGACAATGTATAAAATAATCCATAATATTTTGTAATAAAACGAGTGTTATTTATTAAAATTGATGAAAAAATAAAAATAAAATCGATAGTCATATGATCGCAATCTAATGCGATCACATGGTGAATACTAATGCAGAGTGGGAAATGTAGTTGCAGAGAAGGGAGAGGAAATGTATGGTCACGTGATCGCGGACCTCCGCGGTCACGTGGCTAGCTGCACATATGGTATGGGATGTAACAACTCAGACGGAGGTCGGCATCCCATTTTGCCTCTAGTATTACTAAAACCTCTTACACAATTAAAGAATACATAGGCTGTAATACCAAAAATGTGATATACTTATTGGAATGCCCATGTGGACTCCAATATGTGGGCATGACTAAAAGATGCCTTAAAGTAAGATTGGCAGAACACTGCCGTAACATTAGAAGAGGTTATGAAAATCATTCAGTCTCCAAGCATTTTTTAATACATAACAAAGACCCGACACTTTTAAAAGTAACTGGGATAGAACAAGTTACTCTCCCATGGAGAGGTGGAGACATGACAAAAACTTTAGGTAAAAGGGAAATGTACTGGGTCTTTACACTTAAGACTCTTTCTCCTGAGGGCTTAAATGCTGAATTTGACCTTTTTAACTTCTTATAAAATATTACACATTTTATCCTCTATTTATTTATTATTTTTTTATTTTTTTTTATTTTTCTCCTCAGGTCTTTACTATATACACAGAGTCCTATGATAAGGGCACAGTTCACCACTTTTTGCCCCTTTATTTATTTATTAATATTTTCTCAGCTATTACTAGATTATTGATCCCCTTTTTATCTTCATTTTTCTTATTTTATTTCTTTACTTTAGTATTAGCCCCAAGCTCATAGGGGTTATTTGTTACCATAAGATCAGTAATATATGCTTAGTTACTTAGCTTCTTAATTAATATTTTAGCTTTTCATTAGCTTTCTTTTTTCCTTATACATTTATATCTGTTTAAAATTGGCTGTTATGCCATCTATCCTTGCAGAATTAATAGGCTCATTATGTTCGGTATTAGACGCCGCCCAATTTGCTGATGTCAGACGGAGGCGTGCCCTCTGTTGCCGGCCTCCGTCTGAACACTCCATACTCCATGGGTACTTGCGGCATGTAGTGACGCCGCCCCTACTACTGACGTCAGACGGAGGCGTGCTGTGAGATGCCGACCTCCGTCTGAGTTGTTACATCCCATACCACGCGATCACGTGACCATACATTTCCTCTCCCTTCTCTGCAACTACATTTCCCACTCTGCATTAGTGTTCACCATGTGATCGCATTAGATTGCGATCACATGACTATCGATTTTCTTTTTATTTTTTCGTCAATTTTAATAAATAACACTCGTTTTATTACAAAATATTATGGATTATTTTATACATTGTCTTATTAACATTATGCATTTCGTATTTTTATGTTTTTAATGATTCTGCTTTTTACATATTATATTGATGACGTCATTTTGGCGCCAAAATTTGAATAAGCATGTTTTAGCAAAGTTTATATAAGTATTTATGTACCAGGCTGACTTTTACTATTGCCAGTTGATAAAGCCCTGTGTGGCGAAACGCGTTTTGGCTATTTTATATATATTTTTTTACTGTACTAATAAAGGAATAGTGGCTTTTTTATAATAATTTTGCCATATACCTTTTTATTTCACTTTTACAAATTTCCTGTTACCTGGTCATATATCATCTTGGAGTCTACCCACGACCAAGAATCCTGGGTGGGGATTGTACCACCTATGCGATTATATTGAGCAGTCTATCCTGCTCATCCGAATGTGAGTATTTTTATTCTTTTATTTCATTTTATTTTACTTATATCCAGTGAGCACTATATTCTGCTTTTATCTCCTTTCTACAACCGAGGAATTATTTTCACCTATATCCTACCAGTGGGGGATAAACGCCACTGAATGCCCAACACACTAGAACGAGTTTGTGCTCTGAGATAGGTGAGTGTATTACCTACCTATCATTCTTCCTATTAATAGACAGTCTACACTATTGGATCGTCTTTGTTGTTTATATTTTCCATGTTCACCTCCGAATCAAGACTCCTCTAAAAGATTAGAAGATCCAGTCCCCTATTGGACTCACTACCCTCATATACTTACCGGAACCTGAAAGAGAAATATACCAAGTACTGTAATTATCATTCATTCATTTGAACTTACCAAAAGTATATCAAGTATTTGAACTATCATTTTTTATATATTTAAAAAAAAAAAAATTTTTTTTTATATATTCTCTTTATTTATGTTTTAAAGTGTTTGTTAGTACAATATACTTATCCCTTTCCATTTGTTATTTTTGTAGCGCAACCTATTATTCTTGTTTTTGCCAATCCTCAATATATGCATTGCAGCACATAGAGGTAGTGATCTCAGATCACTTCCTCCCAGCACTTGTGAATGGGAATCCACACTGTAGTAGAGCAGCCTGCAGCTACAGCTCCTGTCCTTGACCTGTACCTGGCCAGCCTGGTACCACTGGAACCCAGGAAAGCCACCCAAACTGCTAGATATACACAGAAATGCAGAATAACTCTCTCCTCATACAAATAATACCAACAGCCCACACACAAACATACACACAACCCCCACAAACTCAATACCACTAACAATCCACATATATGCACACAACAACACATGCAGTCTCTCACATGCAATACCACAAGCAGACACAAACATACACACTACAAAACACACAATGTGACATATCCATCCAGACACACAATTCCATAAGCAGCCCCATACACAGCCCACATTCATAGGTATCATACACAACACGACCACTACTTGTGAACATATATAATAGCTCATACACGCACAAATACAACAATGCAAAGCAACTGCAGTATAAATAACACAAGCAGAATACGGCAACATACACACCTCAATTTAAAAAAATAGGACCGGCATGCTACGGGACATCACAATCTTATTTCGGCACAGTGCTGCTAAAAGGTTACCTACCCTGCAACACCGACTGTCTCACCCCACCACCCCACCACAATGTATTATCATTCTATGTATTTTTGCCTTTAATCTGACAAACTTGATTCATTAGTGCAGTCTATTCGTCAAATCCCTCCCATCTCTTGTGTCAAACTTTATAGCCAATTGACTGTCTCTAGGCTGAGCGGAATCCCTATTTAGATAAGTCACTGGGGAGCATACGGCCGTAGGGAGCACGGGCCACATTCCATCTGTGTGCCAACTTCCAATAAGTGCCCTGAATCCTAGGAGTTTACCAAAGGAGATCACTAAGGAGGAAAACAGCAGACAGTGCTTCAATCAACATTATCATTATCATCCACAAGCTGTTGTGCTTGCTGAATTTATGTTTGTGTTCTGTACCTAGCCATATGTGTAGTGTAAGTACTACTTCCTCACCATATATGTATTATTGTAACCTACTTAATGTTTGTTTTCATCTCCTCCCTTCTTGTACATGGCTCCAAATTTGACTTTGTTAATAATCCTTGTAACACGATTCACACTCTTGTCATGTTCCTACTACTACCCTCTTAAAGGACCACTCTAGGCACCCAGACCACTTCAGCTTAATGAAGTGGTCTGGGTGCCAGGTCCAGCTAGGGTTAACCCATTTTTTCATAAACATAGCAGTTTCAGAGAAACTGCTATGTTTATGAATGGGTTAAGCCTTCCCCTATTTCCTCTAGTGGCTGTCTCATTGACAGCCACTAGAGGCGCTTGCGTGCTTCTCACTGTGATTTTCACAGTGAGAGCACGCCAGCGTCCATAGGAAAGCATTATGAATGCTTTCCTATGTGACCGGCTGAATGCGCGCGCAGCTCTTGCTGCGTGTGCGCATTCAGCCGACGGGGCGGATCGGAGGAGGATCGGAGGCAGAGAGCTCCCCGCCCAGCGCTTGAAAAAGGTAAGTTTTACCCCCTTTCCCCTTTCCAGAGCCGGGCGGGAGGGGGACCCTGAGGGTGGGGGCACCCTCAGGGCACTATAGTGCCAGGAAAACGAGTATGTTTTCTTGGCACTATAATGGTCCTTTAAGCAACACTAACCACAATCTGAAAACCAAATTCTTATACATTATGGCCTGCTTTGTTGCTGTAATTTATCTGCTGAGTGCTGGTGGAGAGTGTTGAAATCAAGCCCTCCAACCCCCATCCCACAAAAGTATAAAACCCTACTTAATTTTTTGGGGGCCCCATGGATCAGTTTTGCAGCGGGGCCCCATGGATTGTGTGTACGTCACTGATCACAGCTGACCTTATTCAAATGTACCAGTTTGACCATTGTGGTCAAAGTTCAAGTGTACTGGCTCTATGAACTGTGCATATAGACAAGGGAGAAATATATGCACTAAACAAAATAAAATTGGCCAATGCCCATTATTTCTGTGAAAATCTGAACAATAACATATCAAACCCTAGAAACTTTTGGAAAGTCATAAATAAATTACAAATTCCCCCAATCCACTCGCAACTCTCCACCGTCAAAGTGGGTAACCAAATCCTGCAACTTCTCTTATAAGTAGCAAATGCCTTTAACAATTATTTTGTCAGATGCTCCACCACCCTGATAAGCTATAAATGACACACATCCTGAAACTACAAATGTGGATCAGGCCCCACTTAATTTGCAAAGACCCAATATAGACAAGTTAATTTTTAGACTTGTACCTAAGAAACACCTTAATAATTTACAAATGAAAAAACAATCTGGACCTGATCAAATCCCAGCAATGCTGTTGAAGCTCAGTGCGCCGGCAATTGCTAAACCTGTCACAACCCTAATTAACGAATCCTTGGTGTAAGGATACATACCCAAACTTTGGAAGACTGTGAGAGTAGTGCCTATCCATAAAAGCGGTAACATTACTTTGGACACCTCCCCCCCTTCCCCTCTGTCCCATTTCTAAAAACTGCAGTTTGTAAAATAACTGCAACGTTTTACACTGCAGGGTTAAAATAATAGAACCACTGCACCCAGACCATTTCATTAGCGATCATTCAAAGGAACAAAATGGGGAGGTGCAACATATGCAAAGGGGGCAGATATATAAAGTAATTTATGACAAATATTTGACAAATCACTTTGTATTACTATCAACATTGTCCTGAAATGTCATCTGTTTTAAAGGGGTTAGAAACACGTACGTTTGTATTAAACACCACTTCAACCTTGTTTTTAGAGAGTATCAAAAAATTATCAGAGCAGGGTATTTTTCCAGCCCATTATGTTGGTCTGAAATGTGAAATTCTTCAGTTAATACTTAACAATTCCCAGTTTAGTGAATTACTACACGAATAACTGAAATAAAAGGCTTGTTTTGGATTTTTCCCAAAGGAGAATACTTGTTAACTCAATTTGGCTGTCTCGTCCGAATGCTCTTAAAATTGCACGAGATGGCAATAAATTACGTCCTAATGACAGCTTCGTTACAGTACTGACCTGCCTAGACTTAGGTAACATTCACAGATTATGATGTAAGGGAAGTTTTCAGTGGACAACAAATAATATCTTACCGTTCCGCTTACACACTTCTTTTTTCAAGCCTCGATCCTACAATTCTTCACGGGTTCTAGAGTTGCTTATAGGGACCCAGCTAAATGTACTTGTAAGACTTATCGTATGTATGTAATCACACACAACTGTATATAGTCATGAACTAGTGGGCTTGGGACTGTGGTACAAATATACACATCTAATTTTATTTCCAGCCTGGTAGAATTTACAATATACCCCTGCTTTCCATGATAAAAACTTTATACACACAATCATTCACCCTGGAACTGTTATGCAAATAAAGACATATTGACAATAAATACCAACCCACATATTAATCTATACTAGCCCATTGTGTAACCATAGTGTGTACATGTATATTGGCTATAGATTTCTCATGGTTAGAATAATGAAAACAAAGGCATGCGGAAACAAGACATATAAAATTGAAAATTAAGTAACATGCGTACAAAAGATTCGGATCGTTAAGCAGAATTAGTTAACCCTGTTGGAACCACCTAATTGACACAGGCTAGATCAACATGATTAAACACAGATTAAACAGCAAATAAGGGCTGATATAAAGAATGTTCCAGGGCTGATTTGTATTTCTTGTCCAGCCCTTTCTAACACCTATTGTACTATTGAAGGCTGGAAAAACAAATCTATTAAAGGAATGAAGAATATCCACATACCCCTCACTAGTATCCCTGACTTGCACTGACAGGGATGGATTTATCTCAGACATGCCCCTAGTACATGCTCATGACCACTGCAATACTTCACATCAGCTCCAGTGGGAAGATGCAAACATTGCCATCTCTATCTATGGGTAGTATACCAATGCAATAGAACTGCTTTCATTATGACCAGATGTCCCACTTCCTTCCTCTCCTCTTTCTCCAGACACCAACATATGAAAACATATCTACTTCTCCAGTTCAACCTGTCCTCAGTTTAATGTACTTGGATTTCCTCTACAGACTTCCCATCTATATTTCACATGGAAGCAGGAAACCAAGTTCAATATTTCCATCTAAGTAAAATTGTGTTTCAAGAATTTGCTTCCAAATTACTCATGAGGTGGTATAATACTCCTTCATTGTTCTGTAGGATAATTCCCTAGACTTTTGACGATGACATTTTTCATATCCTGGAACATGTCTACTGACTTAGTTACAGGGTCCCTTAATTCAACCATGTTGGTGGAATATCAAAAGGTTCATGGAACGACCCGAGCAATTCCACATGCATGATCTTACTCTGTTATATCTCAATTTCAAAGTGAAAAAAACTCTATCCTGAAGCATTTATTTCATGTTGAAAATAGGTTGTTTCATGGTCGTTGGCTTTTGGAGATACCCCCAATGTTCTTATTGGATCAGCTAAGAGACCCGAAGCAGATGGTAGGTTATTTATACAAAGAATTTACGCAACATTTGGACTCCGCTTTCATACTTCTCTTTTTATTTGCCCGCCTATACCCTTTCACTTTTACATTCTCTTGTATTTTTCTTTTATATTTTTTTTTTTCTTTTCTATCTATTTGTTATTCAGATTTCCCTTTGTCTTTTATCATTTCCACTATTATCAACCTTTGTGTTCAATTTGATTTATGTACTGTATCAATGTCACCATTTCGAGTAAAGGTAGTCCTCACTTTGTGACTTACCTACATAATGAAAGCTCAGACTTATGACCATTTCTCCAGTGCGGGGCTCCAAGGTATTCCCCGCATTAGAGATGTTGTCTATGTTTGGGAAATTTCCCCTGAACATAGATTTGAGATATTCCCTGTGCAAGTGAGCTGGTCTATGTTCGGGGGAATTGCCCGAACATAGAACTGCTCTCAAGCGCATCCTTACTTACCAACCAATTTGTTTTATGACGGAGACGTAAAACCGGAACCCGGTCAGTAAGTGAGGATCATCTGTATTCTAAAACCTTTCCACACTTACTCCATAATAAACCATTTTTAAAGTAACAAGCTTACTCCAAAACCGAAGATAACATAATGGATATTTACTCATTTACATTGAAAACATCTATCAGCATTTGCTCCCAAGGATGTGTTGTGTCCTAGAGTTCATACTTCAAAACATTCATTCCCCTGGCGCCTGCAGTAAGGGGGAGTAATATAACTGAAGGAGGACTGGGTCCCATGGAGACCTTGGCCTCAGCATGGAATCGCAGGCAAGTTTTTGCTTTATTTCTTAATTATTATTTTTTTCTCTTAAAGAGGGAACTATTTTTTAAAACATATTTTTTGCTTGGATTCACTTTTTAACAATATGCTAAACGTTATATTGAAAAAGGCACACTGAAAGCAATATAACCACTATGACTTGTGCAATGATTATGTAACCTAGAACAATAGTTTTCAACCAGAATGGACCAAAACAGTCCTTAAATGGGAAATGTCATGATAACTTGGGAAGTGGATTTAGGGAAAACAATTCCCTTATCAGAATGGTACTCAGCTATTCAACAGACCGAGGCCTCCTCAAGTAGCTTATCCCATTGGGAAGCTTACTGCAAATCCCTGATGAGGTGGTACCTAACACCCACCAAATTGGCCCTTATGTATCTGCCATCCTCTGACACCTGTTGGAGATGCAACAAACACCGGGATACGCTTTGTCACCTCTTTTAGGACTGCCCTGCTTTAACCCCTTAAGGACCAAACTTCTGGAATAAAAGGGAATCAAAACATGTCACACATGTCATGTGTCCTTAAGGGGTTAAAGCCATTTTGGAGGTTAATTGCATAATTCCTATCCTCAACACTGAATGTTAAGATACCCCCTCACCCAGAATGGTTTTTTATTACATCTAATCCCCAACATTAAAACTATCGAACAGAAAGTAGTCATCATACATGTTCTACTAGTTGCCAAGACTGCTATTGCAGCATAATGGAAATCTACCCATGTTCCCACCAAGCACGAGGTCCAGAATAGACAGGGCAAGTCGATATGAAGAAATGGCATATAGACTAAAGGGTAAATGTCACGGGTGGCGTTACGGAGACCGGGACCCCTGTGTGCCTGATGATGATAGGAGTCATCCTCGTGGAAATGAACAATCAGGGCCTGGTGCAGGGTAACCACACGCCCCCTGGTGTTGAGCACCAGGGTTTGTGCGGCCACATACCAGGGCCCTGATGCAGTTTCTGCAGATCCCAGGAGCTAGGAGAAAATATGCAGACCTCCCAGGATCTGGATAGGGAGGCTCTGCAACAGAGATGTATCCAGTACTATAAACAAGGCAAGACTAGAATAGGCACCAAACAAGATAAGACTAGACGAACCCAGAACCGGAGCAGGACAGAAAGCAGAACATGTACACCAGACATGAGGGGAAACAAGAACAAGGCATGGACGGGACAGGACTGTACATGAACTGGGAAGACAAAATAAAACAAGACGAGAGATACAAAGCAAAACAAGAGGAGACATAACTAAGTACTAATATGTGTAATAAACATTGGAGATTTAGACATACATAAATGGCCAAGATGTATGCAACCCACCACTGCGCCAAAGTACTCCAATTACGGTGTGTCCTAACTGCCTAGATATGCATGACTAAATAAACAATAAAAAAATACACACAGAACTTACCTGCAAAGAAAGGAGCAGAGGAAATGAAACCACTGCCTGCAGGACCAGACAGAAAAAAAAAGATGAATGGCAAAGGAACAAAAAACAAACATTTAAAGTAATTCAAGAGACTGGGAATTCCAGGAACGGAGTAAAGGAATGAACCCAGAAAACCCAGCATAAAGAAAACCAGACATAGAATAGAAAACCAGAAAAACCAAGAAAAACTAAACAAGAATTGTAAAAAGAGTACGGGATACCAGAAGCCATCGCCAGAAATGATCCGCAGCAGGAACAGGATGACAGTAAAGAAGCGCAATTTGCAAAGGAGTGGCAGAGCTGGATTAGATTTAGAAAGAACCAAATGAGATAGTCATGGGTCGGGGTTAAATAACACTAATCTAAAACTTAATACTGTTGGGAATCACAATAACTGTACACCCAGCCCCAATTATTGCAGGATATGGGTCTACTGTCTACACACATTATGTTATAACTTGTTAAGTTTATATATCCATATTTCTGGGGCTCTGTGATATACAATATATATCACAGCACACCAACAAAAATGGTGTCAAAGTGAAGCACGTCAATAGTTATCAAACCACATTCTGAGCCACAAGACACTCTTATCCACTTGGCGCTCCTTGTTCTCCTTTTACTACTCTTGCACATTATCCACTCATTGGAGCAAAATGGTGAATTTGAGGATGCATCTACTGGGTGGTCTCAGGAGAGGCGATAAAGTGATATGTGTGTCAAATGTATATTTCGATAACACATATACATTATAACCTTGTAATTCACACTTATACCACAGTATTTATGACAATAGCTTTCAGCTAGGCTACTTCCTGATCTATGTATGGGGGGACACAACCCTTCAAAGGTGGTTAACACACAAATGCGACGATCTCTAGCCATGAATGTATATCAATAAGCTGTTTGTGACTTGTCCATGTTAATCCTGATATTGTTACTCTGTACAAGACGATTGAGACGCTATGTGATATTTGTAATGTTGTATGAAATGTGTGACATGAAAAAAAAAAAAAAAAAAAAAACTTGTAACTAATTTACATTTATACCAATAAAAATGATACGTGGAGAAAAAAAGGGGAAATATCAATTCCCAGAATGTTATATGTATATATTAACACAGTTATAGCTAAACGTGAAGAATAAAATTACACAGAGAAATCAACACCTCATTATCCCATTACCCTGCATCTGGGTGTCTCCATCTTACTTTTTGATCAATCATTGTAATAAGCTCTGTACTTTGCACCTGGCAGTCAGCATAGGGAAAACATACAGAGAAGAGGAGAAATGAAAAAAGGTTTCTATTTCTCGTCCTCATCTGTAATGTTTGCCCCGGCTTTGCATTGTCTGAACTGGATCATGATGTAGTTTGCTAAATCTTTAAAGGGACACTATACACACCAACACAACTTTAGTTTAATGAAGCACTTCTGGTATATAGGTCATATCCCTTGAGTTTCACTGATCAATCCTCTGCCATTTAGGAGTTAAATCACTTTGTTTATACAGTCCTAGTCATGCATGTGACTTACACAGCCTTCCTAAACACTTCCTGTAAAGAGAGATCTAATGTTTACACTTTTACCTTTATTGAAAATTCTGTTTAATTTAGAATTTTCTAAATACCTTCTGTATTTGAATAAAGTTCAATTTACAGAGGAGGAGATAAAAACTTTGAAAGCAATTTAAGATCTGATTGAAAATGAAACCATTTTGTTTTCATGCAGGTTGTGTCAGTCATAGCCAGGGGAGGTATGGCTAGGGCTGCATAAACAGGAACAAAAGTGATTTAACGCCTAAATGTCAGTGAATTGAGCAATGAGACTTCAGGAGTATGATCTATACACAAAAATGTCTTCATTAAGCTAAAGTTGTTTTGGTGACTATAGTATCCCTATAAATATCATCTGACCTGCTTTGACACTCCTGTTCTAAACATAGGCAAAGTGTTCTAATAAGTGAACTGTCTGACACATCTAAATATTCAAAATGAAAAAGAAAAAGTGGTAGACCGCGCCAAAAGAATAAGTAATCAAATAATCATATATATACATACATGTAGTTCTTGAATTTTACAGCATATGGGAACCTCAAAAAGAACAATAAACAATAATAGTGCAATATGCAAAAGTATTATAGTAATGTATAAATAAGATACACTGTGGGTAAAGAGCAAACTCACACTTTACCGAGCTGCTAGGAGCTCTGCCGTATAACGCCTGGACGGTACAATCCCCGTCTTAGGATATGAAGTTCTTGAATGTTACAGCATATGGAAACCTCAAAGAAAACAATAAACAATAATAGTGCAATATGTAAAGGTATTATAGTAATGTATAAATAAGATACACTGTGAGTAAAGAGCAAACTCACACTTTACCGAGCTGCTAGGAGCTCTGCCGTATAACGCCTGGACGGTACAATCCCCGTCTTAGGATCTGAATATACCAGGAGGTCCAAATTCAACGGTCGTATATATATGAAAAAAACAAAATATACAGACCAATGGTACAGTATCATAAACTGGAAATAATATAGAAAAAAGTAGGTATCCTACTTACAGTATCCAGAGCAATGACTTGCTCTGGTGATGACAGCTTATGGTGGTATAATCCCCACCACAGGATATAACAGGAAAGCAGCAGCACCAGAAGATATGCAAAAGCCAAGGGATTTGAAAAAAGGCAATGAAATTTATTGTTAAAAAAAATATATTAAAATATATATAAATAAAAGTATATAAAAAACATATATAGTAACTTCAAATCCTATCCTTGACGCGTTTCGCCCGGGTTTGGGCTTTTTCAAAAGAGAGGATGTCCTTGGCATTCCGCCCGGTTTATATAGGGAGAGCTGATAGTTCGATAATAATCTGGTGTGGTGCTGTTCTTCCTATTTCCTGTTTGGTCGCGGGCGTCGACCGGAAATGACGCGCCGCGACCATTAGTATGTACTGGGAGATGTAGTCCATATGAGGCATGCAGTTCAGATCGCGGCCGTCAACCGGAAGTGACGTGCCGCGAGTACCAGTATATGATGGGAAATGTAGTTTCCCCAAGTGTCCATCTGTTGTATTCGTAGTCATAAGCCGGAAACCGGAAATGCCATGCCATAAATGGTAGCTGGGATATGTAGTCTCTTAAAATCTATTACAATGTATAATTTTAATGTGCAAATACAGTATAATCAATTCATATTATCAGTGAAGCATGCACAACATGATATATAGTGATTACTGTGAGCAAACAGATTCCAGTAGTGTATATACATCCTTATTGGGAAAACATAGCCTACAGTGGTTAATCTGATAGTGATGATGTAATAAGGCATACTTAATGTAATCTATACAAATAAAAATATATTTTAGGAAAATAGAGAAATACTCTTGATTATTAGAGATGCCAAATATAGTTTATACTCAAGAATTTATTTATCGCACTATACAAACAAAAAGACAACCACTATAGGGAATGATCCCAACTTTGAGGTAAGAATGACAAAAAGAGAGGGAAAAAATAAAATAAATATATATATATATATTTATTATAAAAAATTGAAAAGGTCGAATTCAGCATTCAATCCTTTCGGGTGTAGGGTGTCTAAATAGTACACCCACTCCATTTCTTTTTTGCCCAATCTTTTGATCATATCTCCACCTCTCCAATATTGTGGCATCTTAGTGATACCCATAAATTTTAACTCACGAGGATCATTCTTGTGTATTTCGAAATGGGATGATACTAGATGATTTTTAAAACCTTTCTCTATGTTTCTACAGTGTTCCCCTATTCGGGTTTTCAAAGGTCTTATAGTTCTTCCTATATACTGTAAGCCACATGGACACTCTAAAAGGTATATAACGTTTTTGCTCATACAGGTAATAGTGTCTTTAATTTGATAAATTTTATTGGTATTATTTGATTTAAAGTTTAAAGTATGTCTGTCTATCTTTTTAGTTTTTCTGCATGCTATACAGCAGTTGCATCTATAAAACCCATTTTTAGTTTGTAAAAAATTCTTAAGGGCATTGGAGCTTTTCTCCTGTCTTGTGAAGTTTTTTGTAAGTTGCATTTTTAAGTTAGGTGCCCCTCTAAATATTATTTTTGGCTTATCCGGAATAATAGTACCTAGTATAGCATCTTCTTTTAGTAGGTGCCAGTTTTTATTGATAATCTTTTTCATTTCTCTATTTTTATTATTATAGTCCAGGACTATTGGTAATGTAAACTCTTTATCAGTATATCCTGTTTTATTTAGAGTATTGCTTTTGATTAAAGATTCCCTATCGATACTAGTTATCATCTCTATATTTTCTTCTATCTTTTCTTTGTCATATCCCTTCTCAATAAATTTTTCTTTTATTTCTTTCGCCTGGATTTTAAAGATTTCTTTATCTGAGCAGTTCCTTTTTAATCTTAAAAGTTGACTTTTGGGAATACTGTTTAGCCAGTTTTTATGATGACAACTATCTGTTTCAATGAAATTATTAACATGGACCTCTTTAAAGTGCGTTTTAGTGCATATTGTATTATTATTGATATAGATGTCCAAGTCTAAAAAAGTAACGTTAGTTTTACTAAAATCAGCTTTTAAAATAATACCATTATCATTGTTATTTAAAAACTCTATAAATAGTTTGGCAGATTCTAGTGGACCCTTCCATATCACTTGGACATCTATATCAATAATAATACAATATGCACTAAAACGCACTTTAAAGAGGTCCATGTTAATAATTTCATTGAAACAGATAGTTGTCATCATAAAAACTGGCTAAACAGTATTCCCAAAAGTCAACTTTTAAGATTAAAAAGGAACTGCTCAGATAAAGAAATCTTTAAAATCCAGGCGAAAGAAATAAAAGAAAAATTTATTGAGAAGGGATATGACAAAGAAAAGATAGAAGAAAATATAGAGATGATAACTAGTATCGATAGGGAATCTTTAATCAAAAGCAATACTCTAAATAAAACAGGATATACTGATAAAGAGTTTACATTACCAATAGTCCTGGACTATAATAATAAAAATAGAGAAATGAAAAAGATTATCAATAAAAACTGGCACCTACTAAAAGAAGATGCTATACTAGGTACTATTATTCCGGATAAGCCAAAAATAATATTTAGAGGGGCACCTAACTTAAAAATGCAACTTACAAAAAACTTCACAAGACAGGAGAAAAGCTCCAATGCCCTTAAGAATTTTTTACAAACTAAAAATGGGTTTTATAGATGCAACTGCTGTATAGCATGCAGAAAAACTAAAAAGATAGACAGACATACTTTAAACTTTAAATCAAATAATACCAATAAAATTTATCAAATTAAAGACACTATTACCTGTATGAGCAAAAACGTTATATACCTTTTAGAGTGTCCATGTGGCTTACAGTATATAGGAAGAACTATAAGACCTTTGAAAACCCGAATAGGGGAACACTGTAGAAACATAGAGAAAGGTTTTAAAAATCATCTAGTATCATCCCATTTCGAAATACACAAGAATGATCCTCGTGAGTTAAAATTTATGGGTATCACTAAGATGCCACAATATTGGAGAGGTGGAGATATGATCAAAAGATTGGGCAAAAAAGAAATGGAGTGGGTGTACTATTTAGACACCCTACACCCGAAAGGATTGAATGCTGAATTCGACCTTTTCAATTTTTTATAATAAATATATATATATATATTTATTTTATTTTTTCCCTCTCTTTTTGTCATTCTTACCTCAAAGTTGGGATCATTCCCTATAGTGGTTGTCTTTTTGTTTGTATAGTGCGATAAATAAATTCTTGAGTATAAACTATATTTGGCATCTCTAATAATCAAGAGTATTTCTCTATTTTCCTAAAATATATTTTTATTTGTATAGATTACATTAAGTATGCCTTATTACATCATCACTATCAGATTAACCACTGTAGGCTATGTTTTCCCAATAAGGATGTATATACACTACTGGAATCTGTTTGCTCACAGTAATCACTATATATCATGTTGTGCATGCTTCACTGATAATATGAATTGATTATACTGTATTTGCACATTAAAATTATACATTGTAATAGATTTTAAGAGACTACATATCCCAGCTACCATTTATGGCATGGCATTTCCGGTTTCCGGCTTATGACTACGAATACAACAGATGGACACTTGGGGAAACTACATTTCCCATCATACACTGGTACTCGCGGCACGTCACTTCCGGTTGACGGCCGCGATCTGAACTGCATGCCTCATATGGACTACATCTCCCAGTACATACTAATGGTCGCGGCGCGTCATTTCCGGTCGACGCCCGCGACCAAACAGGAAATAGGAAGAACAGCACCACACCAGATTATTATCGAACTATCAACTCTCCCTATATAAACCGGGCGGAATGCCAAGGACATCCTCTCTTTTGAAAAAGCCCAAACCCGGGCGAAACGCGTCAAGGATAGGATTTGAAGTTACTATATATGTTTTTTATATACTTTTATTTATATATATTTTAATATATATATATTTTTTTAACAATAAATTTCATTGCCTTTTTTCAAATCCCTTGGCTTTTGCATATCTTCTGGTGCTGCTGCTTTCCTGTTATATCCTGTGGTGGGGATTATACCACCATAAGCTGTCATCACCAGAGCAAGTCATTGCTCTGGATACTGTAAGTAGGATACCTACTTTTTTCTATATTATTTCCAGTTTATGATACTGTACCATTGGTCTGTATATTTTGTTTTTTTCATATATATACGACCGTTGAATTTGGACCTCCTGGTATATTCAGATCCTAAGACGGGGATTGTACCGTCCAGGCGTTATACGGCAGAGCTCCTAGCAGCTCGGTAAAGTGTGAGTTTGCTCTTTACTCACAGTGTATCTTATTTATACATTACTATAATACCTTTACATATTGCACTATTATTGTTTATTGTTTTCTTTGAGGTTTCCATATGCTGTAACATTCAAGAACTTCATATCCTAAGACGGGGATTGTACCGTCCAGGTGTTATACGGCAGAGCTCCTAGCAGCTCGGTAAAGTGTGAGTTTGCTCTTTACCCACAGTGTATCTTATTTATACATTACTATAATACTTTTGCATATTGCACTATTATTGTTTATTGTTCTTTTTGAGGTTCCCATATGCTGTAAAATTCAAGAACTACATGTATGTATATATATGATTATTTGATTACTTATTCTTTTGGCGCGGTCTACCACTTTTTCTTTTTCACTATTTAGCAGGCATTGGGAAGTCCTGCAGGTTCACTGCTGCCTTTTCACATTTATTGGGTTTTTTTAGTGAGCGCCTATATCCTTCCTCTTTACATCTAAATATTCATTTATATGTATCACATTTTTGAAAAGTAATCTTCTGGTTTATTTCCTAAACAGCAAATTGAAAACAATTCCAAAATTTCGATCAAGATTCTCCGAATAAGCAATTTCTCCTAGTCAGATGTAGTGACCTTAGCTATACTAATGTAAAAAGAATTCCCCCCTTTGATTTAATTCTCTTTTTTAGTAACACAAGCAGGATGCTTTCTCAAGGAAGTGCCTTAATGATTGACCAACATGTACATATCCATTTATTAAACACATACAATAGATAGAAGGGCAGTTAAGTCCATGACATTGTGATATTAGAACACTATTTTTAACATGCACATCATCCGCTAACAGGAGACAGAGGCAATTTAACAGCATCAGAGTGTGAAATTAAATGATAAAAAGAAAATGACATAGAAATGTGTAATAAAATATAGTACTAGCACAGTAAATGTATTAATAATATACAAAATGTGTCGCTTTATACAAAGCAAAATAGAAATGTTTTTCAACAAGTAAGTGTGTTACATGGATAAAATAAAGTAGACAACAGCGACAGAAAAAAAGGAAACATATTGGCAGCAACTGCTGGCTTTGAGGGAATAAGCGTTTATCAAAAGGTTCACTCTGGTCACCATAACAACTTCATCTAAATTAAGTTGTTATGGTTCCAGAACGCCTTAGGGCGCAATCTTAACTTACGGGTTTAAATAGTTCTTGAATGTTTTAACCCCAAAGGTTGATTCCAGTGCTGGTCTCCAGGTCCTCCTGGGCATAGGCGCCGCTAGAATGGTCAGCTGGCACTCTAAGTCAATCAGTAGCTCCCTGTTCATAAAAATGGCTTTGAAATTTGCAAACATGGTCTGTCCCACGGTGCATGTATATGGCTATATGATCCTGTAATATACTAAAGGTACAGATGCCCAAGACTCATTGATGTACATGGGAAGTGACAGATAACCAGTTGGCTCAGATCATACAGAAGAGCTACTGTAGCTCAAATTTCTGAAAAAAGTAATGTTGGCCATGATACAAAGATGTCAGAACACAAAGTGCATCCCAGTTTGCAGCGTATGGGGCTGTGTAGCCACAGACCAGTCAGAATGCACATGATGACCCCTGTCCACAGCCTAAAGAGCCTTCAATGGGGACGTGAGCATCAGAACTGGACCATGGAGCAATGGAAGGACGCCTGGTCTGATGGATCGCTGATGGCAGTGGTCTCTTTCTGCAGGTAATGCATACTGCCACACTGCAAAAATGTTTGGGAATGGTTTAAGGAACATGGCAATGACTTCAAGGTGTTGCCTTGGCCTCCAAATTCCCCAGATCTCAATCAGATTGAGCATCTGTAGGATGGGCTGGAGCAACAAATCCGATCTATGGAGACCCCACCTTGCAACTTGCAGGACTTAAAGGAACTACTGCTAATGTCTTGCTGTCGGATACTACAGGATAAGTTCAGAGGTCTTGTGGAGAACATGCCTCTATGCATCAGAGCTGTTTTGGCATCACGAGGATATTAGGCAGATGGTTTTAATGTTGTGGCCGATCAGTGTATTAAATAGATTGTAACTATATAAATAGAAAACATCTGCTAGAAAAACAAGGTATTTACATATACCCTCACAGTATTTAAACAGTTACATTGCAATAGTTTTACTTCTGTTGATAATAACCATTAAAGGTGTTTTTGTTATTATATATCTGGCAGACCCATGTTTAGGTTTTCTGCTACACTTACACATGGCCAATGCATATTACGATACTGAATAACGAAGCATTGCAGTATTTTTAATGCCCCCCCTTTTTTTAACTAATAGAATTTTGAAAATAATAAGTGTGGTAATATTTATGTGCACTTTATCAAATCATCACAATAAGCTTTAAGGAGTTAATCACTTTATAAATGATTAAGCAGATTTATATAAACCTGATATATTCAATTTTTTTTGGTTTATCCACAGAAAATATACTAAAATATACTGCAGTAACCTGTTGGTTTGCATCTGCATCAATAGATCAACAGGGCTTATTTAAGGCCTCATCAGTGGAAAAACTGCAAACATAGACATTAAAAATGGATGGAAGCAGGTGTGACTATTGTTTATGGTGGGTGACTACAAACATTGCTATATGTCCCTGTTCTGGAGAATGTACATGTTGTCTTCAGGCAAGTAATTATCTTAATACATTTGATACAGTGTCAGAAATCCCATATGCAGGGTTTTTCACCAAAGTGTGAATTGCTGGGAATTCAGAACGAATTTGAAGTGAATTTCAAATTTTAGGGCAAAATATATATTTAAAAAAAAAAAAAGATGTTTAACGAAAAATACTCTAAGTCAATAAGGATATGAGATTGGCTAACTTGGACTTAAAGGAACACTATAGTGTCTCTCTGCCTCTACAACCCTCCCACCAGTCATGAAAGGGATAAAAACCCTTCCTTTCACTTACCAGATTCCATTGGTGAGCTCCCTCTGCACTGGATCGATCGCCTCCTCCCACAACGTCATGGAGGTGGGGGAACCTAATGTGCTACTCATAGGCATTGAATCAATGCTTTCCTGTGGGAGTTTTCAAGATTCTGAATGTCCTCATGCAAAGTGTCTCGTCACGAAGTTAAACTCTGTGTATTGAGGAAGCACCGCTAGTGGCTGTTTGGAAATCATTGCAATTTCTCTAAAACTTAAATGTTTTACAATGCAGGGTTAAGGGGACAGGGTCACTGCACCCAGACCATTTAATTGAGATGCTTATAGTGTCCCTTTAAGGTTTACATTTTCTTAGATTTTCCAGCAATTCTTATTTCAGTGAATACCCCTGATACAAAAAATTTTTTTAACAATGCTTTCTGCTGGTATTGCAACAATATATTTCAGCTTAAAGGACCACTATAGTGCCAGGAAAACATACTCGTTTTCCTGGCACTATAGTGCCCTGAGGGTGCCCCCACCCTCAGGGATCCCCTCCCGCCCGGCTCTGGAAGGGGGAAAGGGGTTAAAACTTGCCTTTTTCCAGCGCTGGGCGGGGAGCTCTCTGCCTCTGATCCTCCTCCGTTCCTCCTCCTGGGCTGAATGCGCACGCGCGGCAAGAGCTGCGCGCGCATTCAGCCCGTCGCATAGGAAAGCATTTACAATGCTTTCCTATGGACGCTTGCGTGCTCTCACCGTGAAAATCACAGTGAGAAGCACGCAAGCGCCTCTAGTGGCTGTCAATGAGACAGCCACTAGAGGATTAGGGGGAAGGATTAACCCATTTATAAACATAGCAGTTTCTCTGAAACTGCTATGTTTATAAAAAAATGGGTTAACCCGAGAAGGACCTGGCACCCAGACCACTTCATTAAGCTGAAGTGGTCTGGGTGCCTAGAGTGGTCCTTTAACCTGGCCATACGTTATGATTAATCTGACCTGTAAAATATATATACGTGGAAGATTGATGTTAACAAAAAAGATTTTTCAATGCCGTATAAAGGAAGAAAAGTGGTATATTTCTCCTAGTAGAGAAAAACTCAGCTTTTACACAATTCATTTTTTTAAATTGTTAAATGCTTTTCAATAATGTAATATTAAACTTTGCACAGCAGAAAAATGTGTCTATATAATATATAAATATATTTTATAATGTATATATTTTGCAATACATTGATTTGTGCATTTCCCTGCCATTTGGTTCACAGATCAAGTGACAATTTATTTTTTACCAAGACAGGGAAAAAGGAGCAGTAGTAAAAAATCATTATTATTTTTTACTTTATTGTTTTTTCCGTATTGTTATGTTATGAGCCACTAAATATAAAACAAGGAAATTCAAAAATATTTTCTTTAGAATTATGAGGCATACATGTATTTCTTGTCTATGAATAGATACTGATACAGAAATTTAATTTTTCCCATATTGTGTGATGTATATGTAAAAATGACAAAAAGAGATATTTAAATTTTTTGATTTGTATTGCTTAAATGTGTTTTGAGAATAGAAATGACTGGGTTTTCAATAAATATTACTAATTTATTGAAATAATCCATGTGTGTACACCCCAATGAAATCTGCTGTATATACCCAGCTTTTCACTGGATCATAAACCGGATTCTGTTTTTTTTATGGTGTTCCATAATGAAGTAATAGTAATGTGGCAACAATTATTAGATAGAATGGTGCAGTTTGCTTGGAAAATTCTAATAAAGATCAAAATAATAGAGGGAAAGGTTTTCAATGCAAAGTATTCAATTTAAATTTTGTTTCTAATAAAGTTTAGAATTATTAAATGAATAGGCCTGAAATTTGTCCACAGCAGTTCAGACACTTGGAACCAAATGGTGATCTTGAAAATTGTGTTTACCAAAGTGTATATATGTAGCCCTGCCTGTTCTTTTTCTCTTTCAGAAACTGATTAGGCTTTTCTGTTTAACCCCTTAAGGACACATGACATGTCATGATTCCCTTTTATTCCAGAAGTTTGGTCCTTGTGGGGTTAATGGACTTAAAGTGGATTCTGTACTGTTTACAAGACAGTAAATTTCTCCCCTGATCGACAGAATTAACTATTTTGATAAGTCACACTGATTCTGACATTCAAGGCAGCAACAAAAATAATTAACAGCCTCTACCCTTTACCTATATTGTCTATAAGGGAGCCCTGCTAAATGGGTGTTATAAATGTTATCACATGAATGGAATGGTTTTATATATAAAGAAGAACTATATGCTGTGCTGTGTCACAAGCTTAGCTATAAAAATAAATACATAAATCAGATACTTTATATTGAAGGTATCATAATTAGCAAGTTACTATGAAAGGATCATTTCAATAGCATTTTATAAACTACTCTAAATAATAATAATAAATAAAAAAAAAAGACAATCTAACCCACTTTAGAGAATTGTCCAGAAAAGAATAGAACATCTCACCCTTTCTGGACAGTGAATCCCAAACATGTATTGCTCTGGTTGTAAAGCACCTTATATTTCCATTGCTGCAGGTAAATCCTCCTTCAGTCTTAGTGAATGGCATCCTCTATATAAAATAATCCCCAGACACTTAGACATATTGTCTACACAAAATGAGTTATTCTAACATCTATAAGATCCATTCCACTATAATTTAAGATATGAAACTGTAAAAGAGAAATGGGCAAGAGGAGAGAGAGAAAAAGAGAGAGAGAGAGAGAGAGAGAGAGAGAGAGAGAGAGAGAGAGAGGAGGAGGAGGAGAGAGAGAGAGAGAGAGAGAGAGAGAGAGAGAGAGAGAGAGAGAGAGAGAGAGAGAGAGAGAGAGAGAGAGAGAGAGAGAGAGAGAGAGGAGAGAAAGAGGGGGAGAGAGAGAGAGAAAGAGATCAAAGTAGATGTATGCAGATTAGAGGAACACACCTCTAATTTAAAGCTGCAGTACACTGACACACAATGGCTGTATACCAATAAGCACCATGCATTGTCAATCACCGCCACACCCTCACTAACTTATCCAACAACCACACCCCCAGTGGGTGCACTGTTATCTAGAAAGTACAAAGCAAACCTCCAGAGCAGTTACATTGTATCGCTGGGGGAGGAGGAAGGTTCCTCACTGTGCGAGCGAAGTGTCTCCTGTTACAAGGTATTTAGAAATGGAATCCTCTATATCCTACAAATCAATATCAGACTAAACAGCGCTGCGCGTCTTTGTAGCCCTTGTTTTAACTCGAGACTGCAGTACGCCTAGCCGCCGAAGGGCGGCAGCAGAGTTCAGTATTTTCTTTCTTTTTATACTGAGACCTGGGTCACGTGTTCCAATTCCTGGAAAGTTCCTGGAAAGCCGCCTTTTGCATTTACCAGATATGGGGAGGAAAGGAGGGAGAGCCAGGAGAGCCGATCACACGAGCTGGGAGGGAGTGGAGGAGACAGAGAAGCAGAGACATGGACGAGTGATGGGGGGGTGAAACCAGGCTCCCCCCCCCCCTCTCTCCCCACAATTACAACACACTCACAGAAGCCACGTTTAATTCCAGACGGCTCGTCTTCCTCCAGGGTGGCTGATGGATGTGATGATAGTGCTGGGGATGGTGTACAGCTTTAATTCACCTTGCGTGCCGCTGCAGTGTGCGCTTGCCGTGCCTGGGGAGCCAGTGCAATGACTGAGGAGCTGCCCAGCCTGCTCTGTGTGTGTGTATGTATGAGACTGCTTACCCCCCTCACCTCCCTCTAGGAGACAGAGACCCCCTCCCAAATCATATCAGTGACTGCAGAAGGAATGCAGCCTTTGGGGACGTGGAGAACCCCCTATCCTAGTAGTGACTGAAGAAGGAAGGCAGTAAGCTGGGCTTTGGGACATTGATTCCCCAGTCGTTTGGGGGGGGGGGGGGGGGGGACACAGAGAATCCCCTCACTGACTCTAGAAGGAAGGCAGTCTTTTGGGGACACAGACAATCCCCCCCCTCCCCATCCCATCACTGACTGCAGAAAGAGACAGTATTTTGGGTTTTTGGGGACACAGAGAATCCTCCAATCCTATCACTGACTGCAGAAGGGAGACAGTATTTTGGGTTTTTGGGGACACAGAGAATCCTCCAATCCTATCACTGACTGCAGAAGGGAGACAGTATTTTGGGTTTTTGAGGACACAGAGAATCCTCCAATCCTATCACTGACTGCAGAAGGAAGACTGTATTTTGGGGACATATAGAGAAACCCCTCATCCTATTTGTGTCTGAAGAAGGAATGCAGAATTTTGGGGAGGCTGTACAAGCTTCCTCCCCCCATCCTGCACCTCAACTTTACATGAACCGCTATAACTGAACCTAGAGGTGGAAATGGGGGGGTATTAATCAAAACACAGACCTTCAGGGAAAAGCAGTCCAATGAGATTAGAGCAAGGGGTTGATCCAGGATATGCACCCCCTCAGCCACATATTTAGGGTTTAAGTCACATCTTTGGCTGTTTTGGTAGCATTTGTGTTTTTTCTCTTTAATAAAGGAAGTCAATGCGGAACTCTGGATTTTTCTTCTTCTCAAAGGGGGTGAAACCAATGACAAGAGATCAGAAGGTAATAATGTCTGTGTGTGCATATAGATTGATCCTTAATTGTGTCTGGGAGGGTTTATATGGGAAATCCTGTTAAAGGTGCCTGGGAAGGTTACTTTCGAGCAGTCGGTTTCCTAGACAGACCAGAACACACCTAGTTGGTTAGAACGATTATTCTCCTTTCTAGCAACAATGTATTCTAAAATCATGGGAGAAACACAGGTATTGGCCAGCTCTCCCTGTGTCTGCTCCCCATGTGCTCATATAGGTAGCTGTATCCCAGTGATCACCTATAGACCCTGCAACCGTTTATTCTTTATCCTAAAACTTGTTTGTTTATTTTTTTTGTTTACATTCGACGTTCCATCCGCTCGATCTCCCACCAGGTGCTATTTTAATCAAAACTCGATCAGTAGATTATAATCGACCATTTTATAAAACTAAACACTGTTCGTTTGCCAAAATCCCATTACAATCCAGATTTTCTGAGTGTAAATTCCGACACAAATCTCTACCTACTATACTCTACTCTAATTATCCCCTGCTTCCAAAAATAGATCAGACAAACTAAAAAAAATCTATATTGATCCATTTTATTACATGGATAACTGTAAAATTCTGAATCTTTAGTTTTTAAATGGGTTTTAAATTCGGTTTTATATATTTTTTTTTTTTTGCCTATCCTGAACACATGGCAAGCGTAAAATACTAATTTTATACGTTATTCAGTTTATAGGTGTTTGGTTTTACAACAGAACACTATTGTGATTATTAGGATAATTGGTTTATCTTTTGTATCTCCCACTACAATGAGTCGATACTATCTGTATATTAACTCTTAATGGCTTAAAATAAGTTACTTTGCAAAACAGTCTGGTTAATTTTTTTTGGTATGAAGAATAATTTTATTTCGTGAAATGACATAATACACCTGTACTTTCGTTTTGACTCTCTGTTTGAGCCCTATATATGTGATGTAATGAAGATATGGGGGGGGGTGTATACATTAGCCCTAATCTTCTAGCTAAGTTTTGGGTGAGTTGCACCCCATTTTATTTTTTATTTTTTTTTGCTACTAGTTTGGGGGGTGATGGCTAATTACTTAAACTATTATAAATTCCAACATACTCTCCTCTATTTATCCTGGATCTTCAATACATCCAGTGATTTATACATAACAGTCAAGGTTTGGAGAGGGAAAGGAGTAATTTTAATAAATAGACATATTTAATTTCGTGATGCATTGCTTTTATTGATCCCCTTGCCTCCAAATAATTTAAATACTAATGATTATTATTGTGCATGAAACTGATTGTCTGATACTGAATATCATTATTGCTCCTAGGGTGATCAATATATTTAGAGGGAGTTTCCCAGGTCAATAATTCCCCTGTTTTTCCGCTTTGCAGGAAGGTGGGATCGTTGGATAGTAAGAGAGGGTGTCCTATCGCCTGGGTGTGATATCTTTGAGGATAGGGGTCATGCACTTTGACAGGCGATAGAAGCTGCGATTGGGTTTATCGGCCGACTTGTCCTAGCGGTGCAGCAGCAGAGTGAAGACCTAGCGGTACGCAGGGCACTCCAATGACTCTGAGATCGCCCGAAACGTCGGCAGATCCCAGCATTATTCAAGACGGCTCCGGGCCCCGGGAACCCCCGCATGTGGTCCCCGAGGGGGACCCTGACAGAGAGGACCCTGTCGCTGTGTCCATGGGGGAGCTCAGGAAGTCAGGTAGGTCTCCCCAAAAACTGGGCTTGATGCTCCTAGATTAAGACTTTTTATTAAATAGTGACACCCTCTCCATCTCCCAAACTGATCTAATTATTTCAGTGCAAGTGGGCTATACAGGGGTACCCCAATCTAGCCCTCTGGGTGTGCAAGTGCATATGGACTGTTTGGTTCTTGCTTCTGGGGCAGATATCACTGGTTTGTAGAACTCTCTGAGGAGCAAGGAAAGACAAAACATCTATTTCTATTGATTAGCCCAACAGTGAGTGTCAGCATCAGGCTAAGTGGCTTTAATTCCACAATGCTGCAAGTTAGTTATCCATTATCACATTATTGTCACAGAATCCTAAACCTCTTGCTATACGCAACTTTAATACAGTTATAACCGAGGATATATATCTCTATCTTTATCCCTTTTTTTTTTTTTTTTTTCTCTCTCTCTCTCTGAAAATGTATTAGTAAAATGTAAGTTCTTATAAATTCTCTATTATCCCTAAAATCTGAACAGTATAGTAACATTCAGATTTCATTCTACCTGGGATTAGTGTAATGTGTTGATACATTGTTTGGTATTTTTGTTTTGGTGGATTCATTAACTTTTTTTGGTTTATTTTTATAACTGTGCAATAATTTGTGTAAAACGCCAATGTATTGTGTATAATGAGATACTGGAGATGTATATTTTCTCAAACTAATAGGAGTTAAAAACAAAACAAAAAAAAAAGTGTGGAGTAATGGAATGATATTGATCAGTGTTGCTTTTGACCTGATGAAATTTTTTTATTTTTTTGTAGTTTAGTCCAATAAAGTGTCATTGCATATTATTTGTTATTTATATAACGCCATCAGATTCTTTAGCACCGTACAATGGGTGGACTAAAAGACATGTAATTGTAACCAGATAAATGGACTTACAGGTGGAGGGCGCTGCTCAATGAGCTTACATTCTAGAGGGAGTGAGGTATAGTGACACAAACTGTAAAAGTAGGGGTACAAAGTAGGTTGTTAGAAAAGTATTAATTGAGGGCTTAGTAGGTCATTTTTGACAGTTGCAGGAGAGGAGTCATGGAGGGTGGGGGGATGAAAACCTGCTAACAGTTTAATTGATATGCTTTCTTGAAGTGAGTCTTCAATGATTTTTTTTGAGTGAGTGGAGACTGTGTGAAATTCTTACGGAGAAGAATATATTAAATGGCAATCTATCATATTATTTTTGGCATTTTTTACTCCAATCTGTGCATGTGTATACTTGGAATTGTAAGACCATGTGCATTGATTAGCAGGGAGAATTAATTCCTTACATATATTGGGTGATTTAAGAAGTCCCTAAATGGTTTTTTTTTAATGTTCAGAAATAAAACTGGTAATGTGTTATACATACCACTGACAGAAACTGATATTTGTTTATAATTAACTTTGAACTCTTAGCGTTTGTTTGGTTTTTGGGTTTTTTACGTACAACTACATAAACATGCACACATCACATATGCAATATACAAACACAGCTTTTAAATGAATGCAGTTTATTAACGAAACTCCTGCTCTGGGGAGTGGAGAAACAAAAACTTCCATCTCTGCCATAGTCACTGTTCTGATTTCAGTCCCCCCCAAATCCGCATTCTATTTAAGAGTTAAAGTTGTGGGGAAAGTGTATGTGTGACATGGGACTGCACTGACTCTGAAAAACGAAAGGGCCCAAAAAAATCTAGAAGTCTATGCAGAGTTAATAGTCTGTTACAGAAAGTGTTATATTTGGCGAGCAGCAAAAGTGAGCATAGTCCAAAAACTGGTAAATGTAACCAAACAAAGCTCACTGCATAAATCAGGCCACATTTAATGTCTTCTGAAGATTAGCAGTCAGTTTGTCTGTGCTGGAATTGTTCCTGCGTCTGATGCGTTTATTTACTTCTGACATTTTCAAGCCTGCTTTCAACTTCAAAATGTCACTTAGGAAATGTTTGACAAGTGCTAGAGCAGAGCAAATCCCAGCTTCTAGAAGCTTAACTGGCAACTATGTGATATCAAAATAAAGTACGTATTTCAGTAGCCTGCCTTTTGATTTTTATATTGCGCCAACTTTACTGTTCTGCAGGGGGTAGCGATTAGAGGTAAAGAGAGCCCAGATAAGACTTTGGTTTATGTGTTTTTTTTTTTTTTAATTTAATTATAATTATATTTATTTTTTATATTTTAAACTTTCTCCTACCATTCCATTACTACTTTTATTAGTAGTAATGTATGTGTATGAAGACAGCTGAAATTGTTTTGGAGATGGTATCGTGAGTTTAGGGCATCGAAAATAAAAAATAATATTCTTCTAGTAGGTCCTTATTGAACAGACCGCTTCCCTCGAATTTTGTACTACTGATTTCAAGATTCTAAAGATTATTTTAAAATAGTTTTTGTATATAGCATATTACAATTTAAAGTTTGGGTCATGGAGTTCATTCTATAAAAATAGGTTGCCAACCTAATACGGTATACACTGGGTCCCTGTCAAAAGTTCAGTGTCACCCAAAAACATACTAGTTTACCACTTGCACTGCGGTCTGTAACTGCAGTGTTACTGAATATACTTTGCCTGCTCTAAAATTACAGTGGAGAATGAAACTAAACTATGCTACTTTCTAGTGTGTGTGTGTAGATTTTTATTTTGTTTGCTAAACTTTCTTTATATTCCCATTTATTTTCTATAATGCATGTGCAAGGTGTTTTATATTTGCATGTTTTTCATTCTTTCCATTTTTTATTTTAATACTTTTAAAAAAAAATTTGTTTTAATTATTTCTGGTAAACTGCTTGCTGGTTGGTTTCCAGAACTCTTCACCATCAGGGATTAGAACAGTGCTTAAATTTATTTTAATTTCCTAGCACTTTCCTTCAGCTCTTGGTATGGCCGTAGGAATGTAAAATTAGCAATTTGTGTTCTTTCAAAGTCTTTTCTGTTCCTGGAAATGAAAAGAGCCAAGACCTGTAATTATGAACAGTGGAATACCACCATTTACTATTTTCAGGCAAAAGAAGCCCTTTTTGTCCTACTAAACCTTGAAGTCGAGAGGTATGTGTTGATGCAAGATAGCAGCTGAAATTAGTTTAATATAAAAAGGTATTCTAAGATACGAACAGATTTTTAAAATGTGAAACTTTCAGGAGATCCTTCTTTCTCATGTGTAAAGCATTTCTGAGCAAGATGAAAAATGGAATTCAAAGTTGAGTTGTGATCTAAGGATTAAAGGGACCTGAGAGCAGATTATTCATGTTCAAGAATACAGAATGTAGTATGAAGACCTATATAGAACGTCCATATACACATGTAAATGTGCACACACACATGCACCCAAGTATGGGAAAGCATGTTAACATATTATGTTGAGTATTGCCAATATTATATCTGCATGTATAGTACATTAGAAATCGTCTTAACTTATGGATACATATTACAGAAAGGGAAGATTTTGATTGCTAGAATGGGGGCATGTAACACTTTGGTGGTGGGACCGGAAACCAAAGTCGATATTTAATCCTCTTATTGCTGTTAAAATAAATGAATATAAAAATAATAATCATTCCGACTTTAAAAGCTTGCATGTAGTTCTATATATGCCATTCTGCATGAGAGAGAGAGAATAAAACTTCCCTTAGCCCTACAAAACTGTATATTATCTGCTCTCATTTCACGTTAACCTCTATCACAAATTATCTTTGAATTCAATGTGTCGTCTTGCACCCAAGCGCTATAGACTTGAGAAAGGGAGCATTTCCCAAAAGTTTCATATCAAACTTCTATAAATCTAATAGGTATTACAAAATACTGATTTTCTTTTGTTTTACATCTGTGTCTCTGGACAACATAGCTACAATCTCTGGTTGTGTGTTTTTGGAAGCAATAATATGCAGATTTCTCTAAGATTCTTGCTATATAGTTATGAGTACATACATCTAGTTTGATGGAATCAGATCAAGGTAATATTGGATGCTAGGTCAAGGACAAGGTGGGTGGAAGTTAATAAAGGTAGAGAGCAGGGAGAAAATGGAGTAGTAAGATGAGTAGACTTCAGGGTCTTTAATAGACCTTCAACTGATCAGGACTAGGAACTATGAAGCTCATGCATAGAGTTCCATAAAGTAACACAAGATGTTCGTAATAGAATTTTTAATGAGTAGTTCTGTCCCAGTAGCAGTATTGAGAGGGAAATAGCAGAGGATGGGTTATTACAGAAGCTGAGTAGGGAGTACTAATGAGCAAATCTCCATTTAAGGAGAAGACTTCAATGCTCTCCCTGTCCTCCGTAATTGGTGGAAATCGATATACAAAATTTTTTTTTTTTTTTTTTTTTTATTTAACCTGGATGCTGTTCTGCTGTATGTTCATTGTGAATTAACATCATGTGCTAGGCTTTGTCACTCTCCTATATTTAATTAAAAAATTTTTTAATATATTTAATTTTTTTTTTTTTTTTTAAATCGAAATGGTGCCATGTTGCAAATACTGTTATGCACGAACGAATATTTGAATATTGTGTGGGTAGATTGAAGGCATTGGAGTCTTTTTGTGGTGTGGGTGTTCACCTTTCATTTTGAATACAAAAAGAAAAGCAGAAGTTTAATAAAGGAATGGTTTTCAAAGAAGAAATCTTAGATGACTAATTGGCTTTAGGGCAGAGATGTATAAATGGTAGACCAAGCATGGGGGGGGGGAAAGGCAATGGAAAGGGCTTGTAGTAGATAATTTTCCATTTCTGGTTAAGTGTATGTGCAGATAGTAAGACGATTGTGGGTTGGAGAGTCTGGATGTGCAGGAGGATAATGATAATGGGGAGTGGAAGGAGATGAAATGAGCAGGAGGAAAAAGTGACATGCAAAAACTGGAAACAGGAAAAACTGGATGCCTTCTATAAAGTAATGGCTGTGATGGTCAATAGGGTCAGACAGAAGGGCAGCATAAATGTAGCAGTCATTGGAACTACTCTACTGTGCATGTCATAGACTGAAGGGTAAGAGTCCTTCAACAAACCATTGGTCTCCAGATTTGCTGATCTGAGGTTCTAGAACATAATGTGTTGTGGGTGATGAACCACTGACTGAAGTAACTGAAGAGTTTGCATCCTATTGGCTCTACCTCAGGATTAATTATATGGAGGCTGGAGTTTTTCCCAAGACTGCTTTTCTCTTTTTCGTCCTCGATTCTTGACAATTAAATTTAATGACTTGAGACTTTATCGGTGCGACATTGACCATAGCTTAAAGCATATTCTTAACACTAAACATCTAATGATGTCTGCAAAGGGGTGTGTGTGTGTACACACGCACGCATATTCCTATATATTCATGTTCCGGATTCTTGAATGTGCCTTTTCCATTCTAGGTCCGTTGTGTCACCTTCATTTACATTTTCCTTAGAGGACCACTAAAGGCACACAGACCACTTCATCTTAATAAAGTGGTTTGGGTACAGTGCCCTTGGTTTTAACTCTACAATGTAAATCATTGCTGTTTTGTTGACCTTGCAGGGTTAACACCTATCTAGAGAAATGTTGGGTGTTTGCTCAATGACTCCTGTCATTTCTTTACGTTGTTTATATTGTGTTTGGGTTATTTCTTTTTGTCTCTTGTCTTTGCATGTGCTATAAGTATAATACTTATTCTCCTTGTGCAATAAGACTTCTGCATTTCTATCTCTATTTGAAGCAATTGTCTCACTGTGGTTTAAGTTTAAATATTTGATGGAATAAAGATAACTTTTTATATTTAACTAGATAGTGTGCAGTGGTATTTATCCTTTTTTGGTGGAGGGGGTTGTTGCATCCATTTGCTCCCTTGTGCACTGTTGTGGTTATATTGTGTGGTGTGTTTTTTTTTTTTTTTATTTTTTTTTTTTCATTACTAACGAGTCAATTTAAATTGCATTATTACCACTGGGACAGGCAGGTGAGTGAGAGGAGTCCCATGAGGAGCCAGGTGACAAGATACAGTCGCCATAGACAGAACCAATAGGAATGCAACAAAGTCACAAGCGTTAAGGACCGGCCGCCTCTGTTCCCCGCCGCGTGCTCCAGTGCCCCCCATCTTTCTTAATGTCTATCTTTTCCTTTCTCTTTTCTTACCGACCAAGTGTATGCCAGACACAAAGATAAGCAAAAGGGCGGTACAAGCTCTGGAGATACAGAAGGTGAAAAAAAACCAAAAAAGTACCGGCTGCCGGTAAGCCATTCCGCCAGCCAGTTATTGCTATCTTCAGTGTACTCTCCAAAAAAAAACACACCTTGGTTGACAGTAGAAAAGAGCTGAGTAAAAGGATAATGTACTGAACTACATAATGTATAACAAAGTTGAATTGCACGACATGTACTACAGGCTTTTGCACAAGCTGGTATGCTATAATGTTTGTCTTGCTGTTTATGCCAAATTTACAAAATTGAAAAATAAAGAATTTTAAAAATAAATAAATTGCATTATTACCAGACTTTCCATCTTTGAAGTGGTTATTTGTAAATGGACACCATAGCCACCTGAAAGACTACAGCTTAATGTAGTTGTTCTGGTGTTTTGCCGCATGTCCGTAAAGGCAGAGAAGAGGCAGTGTTTACATTACTAGGAACAGCTAGTGGCAGTGACTCGGACAGCTACTAGAGGTGCTTCCTGGGTCAGTGCTGCACTGACTTTCAGCGTCTCCCAGGGGTCGAGTCCTGGGGAAAATGTGGACACCCAGAGCGTGTCCATATAATTTACTTACTATTTTGTGCTGGACAGGAGTGTTAGGTGTTGATCTTCCTGTGCACTCCATCGCAGAGCTCCTCAGTGGCAGGCAGACATTCTCTGTGTGGGAGTAGAGACAGCATAACTCCGCCTCCCGTGACTTACTCAGCACCAGGAAACTACTGCAGGAAGTGTGTGAAGTCAGAAATCCCCCGTGTGCACTCTCTGACTCTAACAGCAGGGAAGACACTGTAGTGAGAGCTCAGCTAGTCTTCCTGGAACCTTGCAATCTCTAAGACAGCCTGCCTGTCAGTAGAACTTACAAGCTATGTTGGCCCCATGGTGCCCTTGTTGCCATGGCGCTCTGTGCGGACACACCGCTTGCACACCCTTAAAGCCGGCCTTGCCTGGCGTCCGGAATTGCATGTGCTGGGCGTCGGGCTATAGGAATTGCGCATCCCTGGGAACGGAGTTCCTGCTGTGGAAAAAGTGCAGGAAATCCGTTCCCACGCATTCCTGCAGGACCCGAGCCCTGGCATCTCCACGCTCTGCATTAAGATGCTGAATGCTCCTCCTAGAGATGCATTTCTATGAGGAGGTGCTGATTGGCGCAGTGTGGCGGTTTGCAGCGCATTAACAATGGCCTCCGGATTGGCTGAGATGATCGACTTTGATCTGCGCCAAGGGGGCGAGGCATGGCCATCTTCTATGAGACCCGCACAGTAAAAAAGGTAAAAATTACTATTTTAAACCTATAGTGTCAAGAATACAAGTTGTTTTCCTGACACTATACTGTTCCTTTAATAAAATGCTATACTGTTCCTCTATTAAGACCCATTTATTTGAAAATGATGACTAGTTGCTGATTAATTTGTGGAGACTAAATACATGTTCGCTCTGAAGAGGTTAAAAGTAGCAAGTGATCCTTTGAATAAGAATGTCCTTTTTAAAATCTTCCACCCTTACAAAGTACTGAGTTATTAGCGCTCTGAGTGTTTCCTGGAAGCCGTCACTTACTGATCATTGTATTGAAAACTTTAATTGACGTCTCACTGCCCTTCCCTTGAGCATACTCCCAGCTCTTTGGTGAATTCACAAGCTAAAGGCTTTCCAAGAATTAAATGCACATGTGACTTTATTTTTTATTTTTTTTTTATTTTTTTAATGCTCTGTTTTCACCTACACGTGTTAATTAATGGAATATATAGTCTGAATAGTACTTCAAAAATGTTAGGAAAAGTCAAATTCTGCTGCAGTTTAGTTCTATAAACACCCACCCTGTAATTTCATCTTGGTGAAATTGCTATGGGCGAGGTTTATTTATTTAAATTTTTTTCTTAAACATTTTTACGTCACTGTATAGTGAACTAATTTCCACAGTGATTTATCATATGTGCCACTTGGAAATGGGGAAAAAAATCTCTATTTTCATGGCAAAATACAATTATTTTTTTTTTTTCTAGATTCTAGTGAGCCTCAAACCTCCTAGGCCAGGGGTTCTCAACCCAGTCCTCAAGGACCCCCTACCGGTCCAGGATTTAGGGATTACCCTGTTGTATCTAAAGTGTTTGTGTGCCCCCCTCCCTCGCCCCTAAAAACACACACAGCAGGGTAATCCCTATATCCTGGACAGTTCGGGGGTCCTTGAGGACTGGGTGAAGAACTCCTATCCTAGGCTTAGATTAGTCACAGTATTGTGAAGGAATTGGCTGAGGAGTTGGGCATAGCCATAACTCCTTCATCTACGTGGTGGTTGTGTGTGGTGGTTTATTTATTTATTTTTTTATTTTTTTTTAGACCCATCTTGACTCTTATATTTTTATTTTTTTATTTTTTTTGCATATTTGCACCTGTTCTTTAGCAAGTTCTAGTTATAGGTTTTTAATTTTCTGGAATGATACATGTAATTGGGGGAAACAATGTTATTAACATTTACTCTGCTATTGCAAGAGTCAAGAAGGCTATAGCTTTAGATATCCATTAACTTATTCTAATGAAAAGGTGCTCTGATTCACCTATCGAAGTTTCTACTTTTGATATTTCCAAGCATTAAATATTTTTGACTGTTGGATCATGTGAGCAGCTAACCTGCTCACTAACTCTCTTCTTGAAATTCCTACCAACTTCCTAATTGTACACCCTTGTAGGTTTACATTACTGGGATAAAAGAGCATATTTTGTGAACATGGCAGTTAGTGAGGAGCCAAGATGCAGAACATATAATGTTTCAATTTAATATTGTTCCAGCACTGTTTAAAGCGACACTTTTACTAGTCTACATGGTGAGGCACATGGAATGCTGCCAGGGGAACCCTAGAGCTCCCCAGGTAGAGAGCTGAGTGGCCATGCTGCTAACTGGAAGTGTTACAGGGCAAAGATGCAGGCGCTCGGGTGGTCTTGTCTTCCACCGAAGTTCCGATTGCACAACTGCGCATGCGCTAACCGGAAGGTCTAAATTTGGGTGTTCTTTTCAAAAGTACATGGTATTTATGCTGTGCAGATCCTGTCAACATCCAATCCAGTCAAGAGATCTACAAATATAATGTAGGGACTACTTTGTCTCTGTATTTTTCCTCTGCTTGATTTTTCTTGACTTAAAGTGGAGCCTAAGGTTCCAATCCCTGCAACCATCATCTGTCACGACTGCAGGGAGGTGACTGAAACTCCAGGAGTTTAAGAGAAGCAGTGCAACAAAGATGTAAGGTGAGTAATCTCAATTTAACCTGCCCCCACCCTCCGCCACCAGACCACCAGTGGTGATGTCACAGTCAGACTCTGTGAATTCGGCAAAGTCCCGGGATTGTGACAGTGCCACTATAAAGGGAGTCCCCCACATGGGTTATAGGCCATTTAAAGTATTTTGTGCGCTTTGTTTGCTATGTATGTATGTATAATTTGTTTTTTTTTTTTCTCTGTTATGGCTTTTGTTTGCCCAAAAATATTCCACAAAGCACTGCTTATAGGAAAAACTTTGCAAATAATGTTGCTCCTTCAACTTTCTATAGCATTGCTGAGTCAGTCCTGTAGAAACTGTAAAGCCTTAAGGTTTGAAAGATGTACTGCCTTTTAATTTGGTGTTTTATTCTCCTTTTAATTGTATCCTACAACCCGATACATGCTGGAAGGTTTGACATCTGTGGTGACTTTCATTTTTCAGGCTCTAAAGATTCCTGGCTGGCTGCTCTGTGAAGCACCGGACAAGGCCATATTTACAGACATCCATCTCAATTTATAAGAATGCATTTCAGTGAGAAGAGAAGGCTTCACCAGCTACGGTGCCACTTCTTCACGTGCACACCCTCCCCACACACACTCCTGTTAGTTTACCTTTGTCTCCTGTAGGGTGGCTTGCTTGATGCTCTGGTCCTGGCTAAGGCTGATGGGAGTGAGCATACAGTGGCAGCTCACCCCAACCTCTCTTCTCCCTCCATGCTGTTGTGTGGCTCTGCAGACTCCATGCTGCTGCCTCCTCCCTCCAGTCCTCCTGTGCGGCTCTCTGTGAAGCAGGGAGAAAGTAACAGGCTGACATCACTTCCTCCCTGCCGGCTGATGGGTCGGGTCTTAAAGTGCCGGCACCTCATCGGCCCCTACTTGGTATGAGGGAATGGGGGCTCAAATCATGTATAATATCCTGGAAACCAACACACATAATCTAAAATACATTGTTTCCAGGATATTACACATGATATATACCCATTGTACAACGGAATTTGCTGGCGCTATATAAATAATGCGGGGAGTCACATGCAAAATGAGGGAGTCTCATGGAACTTCCAGCAGACTTGGGATGTCTGTACTTATTTCAAAGATGATTCTCAAATGAACGATTGCAGAACAGTTTGATACAAATCTTTCTATATTTACCTAAATGAGTATATTAAAACTGACATCCTGTTGACTATTGTCATGCAGTCATACATATGCTAGGGACCCATTTAAAATCCTCCTTTTTAAAGCAGCACTGTCATGTCGAACTTACCTTGATTTAATTGATTCCTCTTCTCTCTGTCAGGATCTGTTCAGTTCTTCCTGTCTGCTCTAGTTTTCTTTAAAACATAAGACAAAGTAGGGACTACTTGTCTTATGGAGGTTTCCTACGACTTACCATCTCTGACCAGCAGAGGAGCAAAGTTTGCTTCGTTTCCAGTGGTCAGAAATTTTCCCACAATTCTAAGCTTTCCTCCCTATTCCTGCGATGCTCCCTGTCAGTATTGCCGAAAATCCTGTCATTTAGACAGGACGCCGGCAAAACTGCCAAATTGTGGCCTAACAGAATTAGAACAATTTGTTAATTCGCTGTAGAACGCAATTCGGGACTAATGGAAACTCCGATCCTATTCGTGCGGTGGCTGCATCTTGCAGCTGCTTGGTAGATAACTCCCTAATTCCAACGGTATCAGGGAGCTATCTACCAAAAAGCTGAAAGACATAAATTTACTAATACGAAGTAAAGATTACTTTACTGAGCGGCAGGTTGGGGCCCTAAAGCATAATGAGGGGTGGGGGACCTATTGTCCTCTCCCTCCCTGGCCCCTAGTTCTGAGCGGTGGGTGGGGGCCATAAATAACAACAAGGGGGGACCTTTAGTCCTCACCCCCCACTCCTGAGTGGTGGGTGGTTGCCATAAAAGACAATGGGGTGGGAACCTATTGTCTTCCCCCTGGCCCCCACCCCTGAGAGACTTGTGGGGGCCATAAGTGAAAATGCCTCCCTTCCAAGGTGACTAAGGGGCCCCTAATCTAAAAGAACTACCTGTGTGTGTAAAAAAAAAAAAAAAATTTCCTACGCTGTATAAAATGACACAGAGCACTCTGATTGGAAGGGGGTATTTTCATTTAGGGCACCCACCCACCGCTCAAGGGTGGGGGCTTGGGGGGACGACGACTATAGGTCTCCCTCACCCGCCGCTCAGGGGTGGGGAGGACAATAGGTTCCCCCCCACCCCCCATTTTCCTTTATGGCCCTCACCCCCAGCTCAAGGGTGGGGGCCAGGTAATAGGTTTTTTTTTTGTTTTTTTTTGTGAGCATCCACAGGCTACTCACTGTTTAGTAGACATGCCCCTACTCACGGTATAGCGAGTAGGGGCATTTGGGAGATTTGGGGGGCGGGGGGGGGAGCTTAGGAAGTGGCCAGGAGCACTGCTCCCTGACTCTTCTATTTTAAAATTTTACAAGGAGGGAGCTGCGTGCCGTTAGCTCCCTCCTTGTAATAAACTGAATGAACAAAGAAACTAACACTGATATTCAGTGTTTGTTCGTTTGACATTTCTATTCATTCATTTGCCTTTCTGACAAATTTAATAGATTAAATTCCCGTTCGCATGCCCAAGTGTTTAACTGGGCATGTGTGGGAATCTCACAGTGCTATCTAGTGTGGGCAGATGACGTGTTCCACAGGGACTCCATCTACGAACACAAAGATGGCGGCGCCCAGAACATAGGTCCGGGCACAAAAGAAAGATTAAAAAAATAAGTGATATGGGTGGCTTAGGGGTATTTGGGCGTGACTAGGGGGTCAGTTAGATGGAGTCGGGATGGGTGGGTTAAAAAAAAAAAAAACCCTGTATTCGGCCATGACAGTGCCGCTTTAACCCCTTAAGGACCAAACTTCTGGAATAAAAGGGAATCCTGACATGTCATGTGTCCTTAAGGGGTTTACTTTTGAAGCTGTCTTTAAGGGAATATTCAATGCACCATAACCACTACAGCGCTCCAGAGTCAAACCATTTCATTGAAAGTCAAACTGGTGTTAGAATGGTTTGTCTCCTTATGTAGGGTCCACTGGGCTCCCTGTCTATTCTCTAGCTGGAAGTTGTGCTAAGCCCAGTAGAGAGACTCTCAGCCAGAGAGTCAATGCACTGCCGGACTTGGCTCGTAGGGGAGCAGCACCTGGAAGACCACAGGCAAGAAGTCAAACTATTCTAAAACAGACTACATTGAGGGGTGTTATGACAATCATTGTAGCAATTATTGAAGCTTATTTTTCATAAAGGTGTTCTTGTGGTGGGTTTTTTTTTATTTTTTTTATTTACTCTTTTGGGGTTACTTAAGGACCCAGACTTTAATATTTCCCACCTTCTGTGACTCTTGCAGAACTCTGCATTCAAACACCTGCCCTGGTTTCCTTTAAAATAAAAAATATATAAATTGTGTGATATTTATTTTTGAGTTTAGGTTCTACAGTTTGCCCGAAACGTGTTTGTCCTTCAAATAAATGACCGTAACACTTTAATTTTTTTTTTATTTATTTTTTTGTGCACACAGAAATAATAGAGGCTGCACAAATCTTTTTGACTTGTGGATTTGTAGACACTGCCTGATCAACAGTGGTGGGCCTTATGCTGCATAGTTGCGGCCTGACTACCCCACTTCCTCTCCTCTAACATACCATCCCTAATTTTTGGGGACTTTAACATACCCTTCAACCCACCCCTGACCACCTCAGCCTCTAAACTACTTTCAATTACTTTCTCCCTTGGGCTATTGCAGTGGGCTAATTCTCCCACCCATGTAGCTGGCAATACCCTCGACCTAATTTTCACTTATGCATGTACAGTGTCTAATATCTCCAACACTCATTTTCCTCCTCTCTCATCACCACCTCTTATCATTTGCCCACTCACCCAACAACCTCAGCCTAACTCCCCTCAACTCAGGAGGAACCTTAATTCTATTGACCTCCAGCAGCTGTCAGCTGATATTGATTCACAACTGCTATTCTCTCTCCTAGCCATCTACACATATAACACTACCCTCACCTCTGCCTTGAACACTACAGCACCGCTCCAAACAAGCACCTCGAGGAGGATACGCCCCCAACCGTGGCATACTGAATCAACACGCTATCTGCAAAGATGCTCCCGTTGTGGTGAACGCTCCTGGAGGAAGTCTTGCACCCAGTCAGACTTTCTCCATTATAGATTCATATTATGCTCATACAGCGTAGCCATTGCCCTTGTCAAAGTCATACTTTTCTCCTCTCATTAGTTCATGCTCCCCCAATCCCAGGTGTCTTTGACACCTTTAACTCTCTTCTTTGTCCTGCTGTGGCCACCCCTCAAACTAACCTTACAGCCGATAGCTTTGTATGCTACTTGTCATGGATCTTACCTGGAGTGGGAGTCCGGCACGCAGAGTTAAAGCACCCTTTGCAATTCGACACAGGCCGAGGGGACTCGGGACAGAAATCCCCAAGGCTGTGACACCGTGCACTGGGGATGAAATAACCAGTGCTTCCTAAAACGCAGTACAGACAAGGGATATCCAGAAGAGTAGTCAGTATCAGAATCAGAAGTCAGGTCAGGCGGCAATCAGACGAGCAGGGGATCAAAACCAGGAGTCAGATGAATAGCAGTGAAACCAAACAGGAAACACAATCTGACCACGAGAACCAGCCTTGCGGGGTTTAAATAGGGAGACTCAGCCAATCATCAAGGAACCAGGAACAGGTGTGCAAATTCCAGACCTACAGGCTCAGATTACAGGAACCCAGGAGCAACCAGAAACACACAGATGCGTGGAGCCCAATGTAAGCATACTGACTGGGATGCAGGAAACTCAGTTTTGATCCCAGCCAGACCCAAATACACAATATTGTGTAAAGCACAATGGTGATCCTGACACTACTTTACCAACAAGATTGAACAGCTAAGGAAAGAATTCTCCCCACCTTGCCTTTCTTTCGTAACCACACATAGATCATGCCTTTCCTACCCTTCAGACTTTACCCCTGAAGCTACTGAAGAGGTGGCTGCACTTCTCTTTTCCTCTTACCCGCTTGTTCCTGTTCCATCTCTCATCAGATCTCTCTCCCTGTGTCTTGTGCCTACCTTAACAAACATCTTGAACCGCTCGCTCTTCTGGCGTTGTCCCAGCTGACCTTAAACATGTCACTGTAGTACCTATCGGGAAAAAAATAAATAAAATCTCTCGACCCATCCTCCCCCTCTATCGTCCCATGTCCCTGCTCCCTTTTTCCTCAAAGCTTCTAGAAAGACTTGTCGTCTTTACTTTTATGTCTCCCTTCCTCGATTCCAACACTCTCCTTGATACTCTTCAATCTGGCTTCTGCCCCCTCCACTCTAATCAGACTGCTCTTATCAAAGTTACGAACGACCTAATCATAGCTGAATTCAAAGGCCACTACTCCATACTAATTCTTTTTGACCTCTCTGCTGCCTTTGACACTGTTGATCATGCTCTACTTCAAACTCTTCAATCGCTCGGTCTCTGACTGTGTTCTCTCATGGTTTTCCTTTTATCTCTCTTAATGCTCATTCAGTGTCTTCTTTTCTAATGATCCCTCTTTCCTTTGTCTTGTCTCGGTTGGATTCCCCCTAGGCTCTGTCCTTGGTCCCCTTCTATTTTCTCTTTATACTGCCTCTCTTGGCAAACTTATTATCTCATTTGGATTCCACTACCACCTGTATGCTGATGACACCCAGATATCTCTCCTCCCTGGACCTCTCCCCTGCCGTCCTGCAATGTGTTTCTTCCATCTCTGACCGGATGTCCTCCTGCTCTCTCTAAAACGGAGCTCCTTGTATTTCGTCCTCTTTCGCTCTCCCTTCAAATAAGTGGTATCCACATTAGTCGATCCTTGCAAGTGCGCAGTCTTGGTGTCATACTTGATTCTGGCGTCGCATCCAGCATGTTACCAAATCCTGTAGATTCCATCTTAAAAACAAAGCCCGAATCCGTCCCTTTCTTCAGCAAGATGCTACAATGGAGCTTGTCCATGGTCTAGTAATTTCCCGCATGGATTATTGTAACCCTCTCCTAATTGGTCTTCACAAAAACTGTATTGCCCTGCTACAGTCTGTAACGAAGGCTGCCGCCAGAAAGATTTTCCTCTAGTCAGTCCTCACACCTCACCCCTCTCAGTCCTTACATTGAATTGACTCCTATAGGATACAAAGTGCTAACCCATACCTATAACTCCTTGACCAATTCTAGCCCCTCTTGTATCTCTTCACAGATCCATAGGTATACCCCTTCTGTCTCTCCGTGACCTTCTCCTGTCCACTGCTTGCACCCGTACGGCCAATTCATGATTTTTTTTGCATGCGGCACCCTTCCTATGTAATGGCCTGCTTGCCGCCATCAGACTCTCCACTATTCTTCAATTGTTTAAGAAGTGCCTTAAAACACATCGCTTTATGGCCTCCCAGAGTAACCTCTACCTCACATACCTGTCTCTTGCTCTCTCCTAAAGGGAAGCACACTCTCTCCTACAGCTCTGCGTCACTCCCACCTTATTTGATTGCTATTTCCTGTCCTATTGTGTTTTACACCCGCCTCCTATAGACTTAAAGCTCGTTTGAGCAAGGCCCTCTTCAACCAATCATTCCTGTAAGTTTTCTTGTAATTGTCCTATTTATAGTTAAAATGGTGTAGTATAGTTAAATACAAAATAGGGCACCACTATCACATGTGTGGATATAGTTACTACTCTGATGGTAGAGGATAACAACATGTAACGAAAAACAGATATAAACGCATTTGCATCCCTCTTATAATATAGTAAAGCGCTGCGGAATCTGGCGCTAAATATTAGTTTGACTTTTTTATTTAATTTTTTTTTTTTTTTTTTTATGCCTTGTTTTCGTGTGTCTACAGTTTGTGGGATTAAGGGATATTTGTTTTTCAGAGGGTGGTGTAAATTACCTGGCCCAGTGGAAATTTTTTATTTTTTTTTATTTCCTTTCTTTAAGATTAAGAAAAATAAATGCACAAGAATGTCTGTCTAAATTAAGGTGTCATTTCAATTTATTACACTAATATGCATGCATATATATTACTTTAGATCTTTAAGGGAAAAACTAGTAAAGCTACAAATGACAGTCATTACTGTTTTTTACATATATTTTAATTTTTATTTTTTATTTTTTTTTATGCGGCGTAAAATGGTTCAGTTACTACAAATAGCCTGTGCGTGACTGGCCGTTCTTGTTGCTGGAATTGGAACGGACTGACTTTCTGGGAATCGATCCAATTCTGATGGCAAGCGTTTCATGACGTCTTCAAAAAGTGTCTGTGCATAAACTTTTTCGCTGTATTGAAGATTGATCCCAAGCGTAACAAACACTTTAATGAAATGATAAAACTGATCTTGTCACATTTTGGTGTCTCGACTTCTTGGTAGATGGCTCCTTTAATACTTGTGGGAATTGGTGGGTATCTACTAAATGGCTGCAAGATGCAGCCCCGACAAGAATCTGATCGGAATTTCATATTCCTAATGAAATTCGTCATTTTGTTCAGCATTTCACTCAACACAAATGGACAAACTGTGTGGGCATTCAATTAGCATGAAATTCGGTGAACCTGCCGGAGCCATGTCTATATGATAGAACGTTTGAGAATAGTGAAAGGAGGCCTCACAAGAACACGTAGGAGGGTTATTGTTATGATTATCGCCCAACATCTTCAACCAGTCCTAGTGGATGTGGGCTGGGACACACTCTGTTGTCCATTTAATAGCCCCCTATAGAATGTTTAGTAGACATGCCCCTACTTGTGACACAGCGCGTATGAGCAGGAGGGAAAATTTAACCACTCTTTTGCTAAGATGGAGGTCTCATTGTCCCCCATAGAATGAGGGTTATTGGGGGGGGGGAAATTAAGGAAGTGACTGGGAGCACAACTCCCTCCCTTGTAGTAAATTCAGTGTTTATTTGTTCCTTGAAATTTCTATTCGTTGAGTTGTCTTTCTGGGCAGAGGGGAGGGCGAATGCCCAAATGTACAACTGTGTGGGCAGATTTGTCTGGCAGGGCTTTTATCTGGGAACACTAAGATGTGACACCTAGATAATAGATCTGGAGAAATAATAGAGGTGTAAAAAAAAAAAAGGGAAATTGGGTAACTAGCGGCATTTGGGGGCAATCAAATGTGGTAGGGTAAAAAAAAAAAATGTGGCCATGATGGTGCCGCTTTAATAATTAGATATAGATGTATATCTATAATGACGACAATGTTTACTTAATTTAAGTCCCAAGGCATGTTATACTACTAGCAGCAGAAGTGTAGGAGGACACTGAAGAAGGTGGGTAAAAACCGCATGGAGTTTCTGACTTGATTGAATGTAACATGTTTAATTGCATGTAGGATGCAGATGATGATGCAGAATTTTGGAAATGTTTGAGGTTAGTCAGGGTGCAGGTATGAGTCTGGCGAAAGCAAGAATGTTAAGTTTACAAATGTTTCGTACAGTATGTCCAATCCAGAGTGTTGCAAGGTGCACTATGCGCCTTGAGGGTTAGGTTGGGTTTGGAAAGTCCACACGATGAAGGTTAAATGTACATTTTTGTTGCAAAGTTCTACATGTGGAGCAATCGCCATGGAAACCAAAGGAATGTGCACGTTGACTAAATTACTTTTAAAATTTTACTCTACACTTACTCTTCAAAAATGACACCATTTGTCATCAAAAACAATTTTTTTTTTTTTCAGAAGATTAGAGGCAGTGCTTTACAACTGGGATTTCATCACCTGTAGGAAAAAAAACAGGCAGGCAATCTCACAAACTTTTCAAGAACCTCCCCCAATTAACCTTTGGACTTACAAATTGCTTCCTGCCCAAGACATCCCCAGAAATTACAAAAGCCGAATAACCATTCCACTCAGACTATGAACAAATTGGGGGGTGGGAGGGTTAAGTGAGCACTGCCTCTAATCTTCTGGAAAAAATTTAGAGGCAGTGCTTTTACAACTGGGATATCCAAAAGCAATCCCTTACGCGGGACTCAAATCTCACTGCAAAAAACCTGCGACCAAAGTTGTATCTTCCAAGATCAACAGACCAAACTGAGTGAAGAGATCACCTTGTGGCTGTTAGGAAATCAAGAGAATGTATAGCAGAAGCCCTCAGTCACCCGATCTGAACATAACTGATCGAAGGAGCTTCAATGGAAATAGGTGTAAAATAAGAAAAAAAACCAAACAAATGCAAACCTTTAAGGTAAGTAGACAAGAACTAAATGCCCAGGCAGTGGAATTAGAATTCCTAGACCCTAGAATGCTGTTGGGAAAAGTTTGAAAAATTGAAGAATTAAAGAATCCAATTTAACTCCACTTTCTACTGCTGAAAATGGAAACTTAAGTTGTTCCCAAAAATATTTTGGGCGACTACCCCCAAAGACCTAGAGTGAAGACTCAAATCAGCAGAGTAAAAAACCCCAAAAGAAGATCCCCCTGCGGAAAGTATTCCCTGAAGATCGGCACTAACCACGAAAGAGCCTAGCCGATACTGGTGATTTGGAGACAAACCTCTGAAAATCAACTGATGATCGAAATTTGACCTTGAGGATATCTGGCTTTAAACCATCCGCAAAGCCCATCCGAAGAAAGAGGTTAAAACTTGGAAGCTGATGCCTGCTTTTCTATGAACCAATATCTTAAACACCTTCCATACTTGGAATAAATCTTGGAACAAGATCCATTTATAGTAAAAAAATTGTCAATTTCCTGAGACAAAACATTATCCTTCAGTATCTGGTATACATAAACCAGGTAGTCAGCTTGAATTACAACAAATTTGAGAAGCGGTATCCTTGAGAATTCCAGGATGCCTATTTACAGGTAAGGTCCCCAAAGATTCTTCCAGATAATTTTTGATGAACAGTGAAACCGCTACTTGCCACCAAGGGAGGAAGACTATATCATTCTCACCTTTTCCATCCTATCGGATCTTGGGGAATAGGGAACCTGGTGGAAACTATAGGTTAGACTAGAAACCAAAGCTTACTGGTCTGTCCAATGAAACACTTCATGCTATCTGTCCGATCTAGAAGTCCCATAACTGGATATATATCAAATTCTTACTATAGTTTGGTTCATACACCCTGATCTTCACCCAATCTGCTTTGTATAAAATGTTGACTACTCAATGCTACAACAAAACAGAGGAATATTAAGTTCTATGCATAAGTGAATAGACCTAAGAAAAACTAATCCAAGCATATCCTGGAACAAGATGACCTTGTTTGTACATAATTGCTACCGATGTAGAATTATCTGGATAAGATAATACCTGGTCTTTATCTGAAAGGCAAAGCCAGATAGCCTTCGGTCTTATGTAATTGGATACGTTTTTTTTTTTTTTTAATTTATTTTTTTATTAACAAAACACAAAACAAAAACAAAATTCTCAGCTAATTTCCCTTCAACCCTATGGGAACCTAGCTGAGACCTGAAGCATCAGTTGTAAAATTAACGATCGATTTGAGAACTAGAACAAAAAGTAAGAACCATCTGGCATCCTTCATTCCTGCCTGGTTCAGAAAGAAATGACCGTATCTGATTTTTACTGCAAAATCTTATCAGCAACTGTATCTGGCCACTGAAGGACCTGTAAACAGTGCAATGCCTAAAGAAGCTGAAGAGACCAAGCAGGTTCTTACAAGATGGGAACCAATATTATTTCCCTAGTATCTTGTCTACTGAAGTAGAAGAGATTTCAGGTGATAAGGACAGAGAGAACCAATTTTTTTTTAAATTTTTTATTTTTTTTTATTTCAGGGAATTGCCTTTCTCTGAGGGTCAAAAACCCTTGTCAAAATATTTACACCTGAACTGTTCCTTGACAAACACCAGAACTGCACACTTCTTGAAAAGGGAATTCGTTATCAGAAGATTGATTAGCATCCACCTGTATGCTGTAGAAACACCCTAACCTTTAGGGGCTGGTGTACAAAAAATTAATTAGGTGCCCCTGAGGAAGTCGTATTGTAGAGGTTTAACAAATTTATGGATGGCAACATTTTGCATAGTGAGAGAATCTCAAGTGGCAATTGCCATAAGCTTTTATCTTAAAAGCAAACGGCAAACAAACCTAGGCAGTAAACCATCCGTCATACCGTATCTATGGCAGGGAACAAATTGAACCTGGTGGAACTACACCTTGATCAATAGGCTTGCAGCTGTACTAGAACTTGCTTCAAGCCCAGTAACATGAGGAAGAAAATTTTCCATGGAGACTAGTTCATACAGGTTACCATCTTTATTGGCGGAAGCGAGACTGATTACATAGATATACAGTCTGCATAAGACAATACCCATGATCCAGGCCTTCCTTAGCCGTAATTGGGAAGCAGAGGCTAGAGCAGAAAGAATATTTGCAAACTGCATTTCAAAACCTCTTTGCAGACTCTGCAGGAATCAATAGTAGAAGTAATTCTTTAAAATTGCAATACCAACCAACAGCCTTACCTGCTATAGGCTTTCCTTAGCCATATTTGGGAAACAGAGGCTAGAACAGACAGAATATCTGCAACTGCATTTCAAAACCTGTTTTATGCAAACTCTGCAGGAAACAATATTAGGAAGCATTTTCTTTAAAATTTCCATTCCAACAGTCAGCTCAAACCTGTCTTTGTAACTAACAACATAGGACTTTGGAATTTAAGATAAAACCTAAAATGTGCAACCATGGAGTGAAGCACAGGAAAAGTTCTGCTCCAGCTGAAAAACAGACTGCCTTTTTAGAAACTGATATCAGGTGAAACTAGTTGAGGTGGTGAGAATGCTAATTGCAACAGAGCTTTGTCTACAGCGATTGCTAAAAGCCTACTGCATGCTTTTTTTTTTTTTTTTTCAATTTGACAATTTTTATTTGTCTTTCATAGGATGATGGGGTACAGAAGGAAAAGTGGGATGGGGTAAACATTAATACATGCATAATAAAATGATACAGAGGAGGTGTTGTAACATTGATTGTTCATTTGACACACTAGGCATATTTAGGTGTTTTTCTGTTGTACGTCTTACACAGTTGGTTGCTTAGTGGTCTTTGTCTAGGAACATTCCTGTCTAGTGGTGGAGGACCCACTCCATTATGTTTCGGTGTCCGCTCTCATTATACTAGGGGGTGTATAGTTTGATTATCGAGCAAGGGGATCATTGTGTCAGATGTGACTCGAGCGTTGCAATTAGATTAGGACAGTTTCACCTTATAGCGTGAGAATCTTCTCCCCTAAATTTGTTGTGTTTTTTTTTTTTCAGGTTTGTATTGTTTATGCATACAATATAGCGGGGGGTACAGAAAAGAAGGGGAGGGTGAGCGGTTAGGGTACATTAGTCATCTTCATATTTATACATGTTAGACAGTCCTAACGAGCTTGGTCTTATATGGGTGGAGTTTTGTTACTAGTGGGGTGGGTCGGGGTCCAGCCATTCGACCTGTGGTATTCTATCCTATCTTGCGTTCCCTGTGGCTAGTAGTTGTCGCCTCAGTTGGGGGGGGAGGTTGGGAGAGGTGGGTATGGAGAGGGGGTGAGGAGGGTGTGTGGACCCGGCACCATACACGTATTGCTCTTGTTTCTTTGTCATGCTTCATTTGTTATTTGCAGCGTGGTGCTTGGGTCTTTACCCCTCGAACTATGTACATTGTGGGTTCATATTCCGCGACGTCTTAGCGCTAGTGTATTGTTTGGGCAATTCCCAGATATCTCGGTCTTTTGTGGGGGTCTTCTGCTCTAGACCTCTATTCTAGTGGTCGACCTGCTCGTCTTGCACTCTCCGTCAGGTGTATCTAAGTCCAGCCTCTTTTTTTTATTTTTTTTTTATTTTTATTAATCTTATCTATATCCCCTCCCCAGTTTGTGTTATGTAGGTTTCCCACTCATCTTTGGCTTGTATGATATGTTTTGCTGGGTGGAACTGCTGACTAGTCCCTATTTCGTAGGTCAGGTTGAGTGACGTCTGTTCTATCAGGTCAGACCTAGTGGGTGTCTGTGTCTGTTTCCATCTCCTGGCTAACAGGAGGTTTGCTGCTGTCAAGATGTGAAATAATAGGCTTGCTTGTGGTTTTGGGTGGGAGTCCAGTGTTATGAATAGTAAGGCACATTCTGGTCTTAGCTTAGTATCGACTCTCAACGCTCCCTTAACTGTTGCCTCCACCATATTCCAGTATTCCTTGAGCCTTGGGCAGGTCCACCAAATGTGGTACATTGTGCCCTCTCCTGCTAAGCATCTCCAGCATAATTTGGAGGAGTTAGGGTAAATGGTCGCCAGTCTCGTTGGCACCAGGTACCATCTGTATTGTATCTTGCGCATGAGCTCTAAGTGCGATGCACATCTGGATCTGCCTTTGTGGGCCGTAAAAGCCAGGGTCCATTGGTCATCTGGGAATATTGTACCTATGTCTCTGTGCCATGCGTCTCTAAAATTGTCTGTCTGTAATTGTTGGTTGGAGTCACTGAGCAGAGTATATAGTAGCGAAAGTGGTTTCTTAGGCATGGTCATCGATATGCACGCTCGATCTACACTCTGTGTATGTTGCGGGATGTTTAGGGAGGTGTCGTGTGTTAATATTCCCTTTAGTTGCAGGTAAGAAAATATCATTCTTTGTGGAAGGTCGTACTCTACTTGTAGGTCTGGGAAGTGTCTCAGTTGTCCCTGCCTGTACAGGTGTTGAACTAGGGTACATCCTTTTGTCAGCCACGTACGGTGGTCAAAAGCAGGGTATGCTAAATGTATGCTATATATGGGAGTGGCCAGCGCCCAGTCGGTGTTATATCCGAGCTTTGGCTTAGATTTATCCCAGGTTTTCAATAGGATATCAGTGGTGGCTGGTATTTCTGGGAGCGGTGGGTGTAGCCTGTGTGGTACCCAGAGGAGGTATTTAAGACCTTTGGGACAGGTCCAGGTTGATTCCATTTCTATCCATTGTGGTGGGTTTTGGGCAGTGTGTGCTTGTAGGGCTGTGGTCATTAGTGCTGCTCTGTAGTACCTCTGTAGCTCTGGCATTCCCAACCCTCCCTGAGCTAGGGTTCTAGTGAGAATCTTCGTGGCTACACGTATTTTTTTGTGTGCCCAGACGAAGTTAGTGATGGTGTTTTGCAGCCGTCTCAAGTATGTGTTTGGTAGGGGGATCTGTAGAGTTCTAATTAAGTATTGAAATTTTGGTATGAGCATAATCTTCACTGCCGCCAGTCTCCCCACCCATGACATGTATTTGTCTTCCCATTTCTTCAGTGTGTCGCCTATTTCCCCCTGTAGTTTGCCATAGTTAAGGTCCAACAGACCTTGTGGGGTCATTGGAATCCGTAGACCCAGAAACGTGAGGTGGTCCTCTCTCCAGTCTAATGGGAATGAGAGTTTTAGGTGTTCTATGGTGTGATGTGGTATCCCTATCCCCATAGCTTGGGTTTTCATGACATTTAATTTGTAGTATGATTGCTCCCCATATCTTTCTATTTCCTGTAGGAGGTTTGGTAGTGATATGTGTGGTTGTGTAAGTGTGAGGAGTATGTCATCAGCGAACAAATTTGTTTTGTATTCTCTAGCTCCTATCTCCAAACCGTGGATCGCAGTGTTTTCCCGTATTTTGATCGCCAGCGGCTCCAGCGCTAGGACATATAACAGGGGGGACAAGGGGCAACCCTGCCTCGTGCCATTCGTGAGTTGGAACGGTTCGGACAGAAATCCTGCGTTGATTACTCTTGCTGAGGGCTTGCTATATAGGGCCTGTACCACCGACACAAACCCTAAGGGGATCTCGAACTTGTGCAGCACTGCTCTAAGAAACCCCCAGTGAAGGCGGTCAAAGGCTTTTTCGGCGTCGAGGGAGACCATCAGTCCCCCCCCGTCGCTGATTTTTCAGGTGGTGGAGGATGTTAATAACCTTCCTGGTATTGTCTGCCCCCTGTCTTCCCTTGATGAAGCCCACTTGGTCATTGTGGATTATGTGTGGTAGTATTTTTCCCAACCTGTTTGCGTACAGTTTGGCGAATAACTTCGCATCTGTATTGAGGAGGGAGATGGGTCGAAAGTTTTGCGGAATTGTCGGGGCCTTGTTCGGTTTAGGGAGTGTGACGATGTGGGCGGCCAGTGTTTCTCTAGGGAGTTCGCCCTTGCGGGCTGCCTCCTTAAACATTCTGGCTAGGTAGGGCGCCAGTATTATGCTAAATTGCTTATAGTACTGGTTGTCAAACCCATCTGGTCCTGGGGATTTACCCGATGGGAGGCTTTTAATTAAGTCCCTAATCTCCTGGATTTCTATCGGTTCAGTAAGGGCCGACTGTTGTTGGGGTGTGAGCTTGGGTAATTTTACCCCGTCAAGATATTCCGCAATACCAAGTTGTGTTGGGTGTTTTGTTTGCGCGTCTTCCTGAATGTTGTATAGTGATGAGTAGTACTTTGCAAATACTTCGCTTATTCCCTTAGGGGTGGAGATTTTAGTGCCTGTTTCGTCTGTGAGGTAAGATATTTTCTGAGCCGCCTGTCTTGTTTTTAGCCGCTGTGCCAGTAGTCTGCTTGCTTTGTTACCCTGTACGTAATGGGTTAGTTTGAGCCTTTGCATATTGGAGGTCACTGTGGCTAACGCCTGCTGGTGTATGAGTTTCGTGATCTGGGCTATCTTAGCTTTCGTCTCTGTAGACGGGGTGTGTTGGTTTAGTCTGTTCATCTCATACAGTTCTGCTTGCCATGTCCTAAGTTGTGTTTGGCGTGTCTTTTTTATGTATGTCGCCCTACGTATTAATAGGCCTCGAGCTACTGCCTTGTGGGCGAGCCACAGAGTGGCGTCTGTGGTATCATTTGTGTCATTTTTCTGGAAATATGTTTGAAGGCTCCCCTTCAGGGAGTCTACAAATTCATCATCCCTCAGTAGGGAGTTATTTATTTTCCACGGCTGCGATGTTTAAAATCGTAATTATTTTTGAGCTCTATGGTTACTGGTGCGTGATCTGACCATGTGATTTGCTGTATGTCACTATGAAGGAGTTGGTCTAACGCTGACCCTGAGATTAAAAAGCCGTCTATTTTAGAGTAGGAATTATGTACCGCTGAGTAGTGGGTGTATGCCCTTTCTATCGGGTGAGTGGTTCTCCACGCATCATATAGATGGTCATGCAGGAGTTTCGCTATGGCTCTACATTGTCTCTTGAGGGGGCGATGGTGTTTCCTGTGTGGTGGGAGAGTTGTGTCTAGTTGTGGGTCTATTATGTGATTAAAGTCTCCCCCTATTACTGTAATACCCTTTTGGATTTGGTCTATTTTGGTCAAGATTTTATGCAAGAAATTCCTCTGGTTTGTATTCGGGGAGTATATGTTGGCGACGGTATATAACATGTCATTAAACAGCCCCGTGAGTATAATGTAGCGGCCATTCGGGTCTATGTCAGCTTAGTGTAGTGCAAATGAGACGGTTTTGTGTATTAGGATGGATGCTCCCTTTGCTTTCGTGGGTGATGTGGCGTGGAATTGATGTGGGAAATCGGCGGTAAGAATAGGTGGGTGGTCGTTGTGCTTAAAGTGGGTTTCCTGGAGGCACAGTATATCTGCCCCTAGGGCTCTAGCCTACCTGAAAAGAAGGTGTCTTTTAACTGGTGCGTTGAGGCCCCTGACATTAAGAGAGCAGATCTTCACGGTGGTTTATGGTAATGGTGCTTATGAATTCTCGCGCTGCAATCTATATTTTGAGGGGTCCCTGCTCTCCCTAGCTTTGTCGAGCTGAGCAGTGTGGCTCCCCGTGTGATGGGCATTGTCCCTATTGGGCTTGTAGAACAGTCTGGGACCTTGGTCTTGTCTGTTGTTGGTCTCCCTAGTATTCGCGTGGCGGTTTGTGATGGGTTACCCACTAACCCTATCTTTTGTTTGTTGGTAAAACCCCAAGCTTGTGGGGTATAAACATTGCATATAACAACATACAATAAAACAATAACATTAACAAAAGTATTTACATGAACATACGTATCCCTTGTTAGTGCCGGTAGGTCGGCTAGGCACTGCCTGGTCGTGCCTTGGGGGAAGAGGTTCATTACCTCTTGTCCAATGGGAGTTGTCTCCCTCTGCGGCTATTTCTGTTTTTCACGTTGGGAGGTCCCAACTGTAAACTATAGCCTAGGAAAATGAAACTGGTTGTGTGTACCAACATGTTGCTTGTGTTGTTAAGTTTTTTTTTTTTTGTTTTTTTGTTTGTGTTTTCCTGAGTTAATAGCATTATTTTGGCCCAGTTCCCCTGTGTCTATTTTAGATATGTTAAGAGAATGCGTGTGGGTGTCTCTACGACTGATCACCTCTTAGTTGGCAGGTAAGTTATGCTGACGTGGTTCGGCCCTTTAGTCTGGGTGGGGGCTAATAGGCTATGTTTCTCAATTCTTTTGGTCCCTCTGTTCTATAGTATAGATTCCCCCACCTGTCCCCTTGCTCAGTCTGGAGCATTTAAGTTACCCTATGGGTGTGATGCGGTGTCGTACATTACCCTGCCTCTCGGTAGGTAGTCTTGGGCTCTTAAGGTGCTGTAGAGCACTCCCACCCACAGTCTCTGTCTTTTATCTCTTTTTCGCCTTCTTCCAGTCTTGTGAGGCCTTGGCTCGGTTTCTCCCTTGGTCCGTCGGTGGAGTGATTTCTATGTTCCAATCCTGCATGATTCGCTGGCCGTCCTCCGGGGATCCGATGATAGTGGTCTTCCCCTCTCTCAACACCAGGAGCTTGGTGGGGTAACCCCATCTGTATGGGATGTGGTTGTCTCTGAGCTGTGTAGTGATGTCTCGGAAGTCCCTCCTTCTCTTTAGGGTGAATGAGGAGATGTCCGCATATATGGTCACCCCTCTGTAGGCCCGTAGGCCAGTCTTTCTGTCGCCTGCTGGCGTTAAGTATTGCTTCTTTAGCGTGATAATAGTGCATTCGTAGCAGGATGTCTCTTGGAGTGTCTGCTGGTAGGAATTTTGGTTTGGCGGTTCTGTGGATTCTGTCTAACAGGAACAAGTCCTGTGGCAGGTCTGGAGCCAGTTCCTTCAGCAGGCCTGTAATGTGGGCGGTGAGGTCTTCTGTTTTTACCTCTTCCGTGACTCCCCTTACTCGCAAGTTGTTGCGGCGTGCCCGGTCCTCCATATCCGCAATCTTGAGGTCCTGGTTATCCAGTCTTGTTACCAGCCCCTCTACCGTGTCTGCTAGGGAGTTATGGGCCTCTGCCATCTCTGAGAGTTGGTCCTCTGTATGTGAAGTACGTTGGCCTATATCTTGAAGTTCCCTTCTGAGATCTTTGATAACGCTGTCCATTTTCCCCACAATCTTATCTGACATTTCCTCCAGCAGTTTTTTCAGAGTGCTGTGGGTCAGTGGGCTGTCATTTTCATTTTCACCAGCCTGGGTCTCTGTTTCCAGTTCCCCTCCAGCGCCATCTTGTGAGTGCTCTGCCTGGATTGAGGCCTTCCCCTGCCCTGCTCTGGAGGCAAAGAAGCTACTCCTATCTCCCCTCTCGCCGGTCCTCTTACTTTTTGGCTGGGACATTGTGGCGGCGGGTGGCATCAGGGTCCGATCCGAGGCTATATTATGCTATTTATGGCTCCTTTTTAGCCGTCGCGGCACGGAGCTCGAGCTACATGCGGCTGCTCCGGTCCGCGTCCAGGACACGCCCCCAGCCTACTGCATGTTTTAAGAAAAGAATCACTGCGGCTAGGATACTGGCATTTAAAGAATCCATCTGCTACAACAATATATTAACTTAACCAAAACCAGATTTTAAATATCAGCCTCCTAAGGATAACATACAGAGGATAATCCTCCAATAGTCATACGGTCTTGCTCTTGTGAATATATTCCACCAAACGCTTCACTTTAATTGCTGACCCTGTTGCAGCAATTGGTGATTATTGAAACCCATATTAACTAATCACTGTGTAGCAGCTATTTTGAGCCAGAAAGGAACCTTAAATTTTCCAAATAGAATTATATAAAAGTATATTCTTATCTAATACCCTTTATAGGCTTTACTCAAAGAATAATCTGTTTTGGGCCCGATCTACTAAGTGCTTACCCTTTCAAAGCACTTTGTTTTAATATTTTAGTAATGTTTAAGTGATGAGAAGCTAAAAACTCTCCAACTTAGAAACATTTGCGCTTTTTTAGCTTATCCATCTTGCAGCACAGATAATTAACAGTCATTTAAGATAAAGCAAAAAGGCTTACCTTAAATGTCCTCAGAGTGTGTTGGAGGTTGATGAGAACACACTTGCAACAGATTCTGAGTGCACCTGGCAACAGTTAGTTGTTGCTGGGTAAACAGCCTCTCTAAGTCCTGGAAACCAACATCTTGACCCCGGAGAGAAAAAATGATAAAGATATTGGCGCCTGAATTTTAAATTGCATTACGCATATCCTGCATTTCACGATTCCACAGTGGAAATAAACATAACCTGTACAAGTGTTCCACTGCCAGGACTTCCCAGCTAGTGCCCAGATGCGCACCATCGTCTGCCCGGCACCTGGCTCTGTATAGACCGAAGTAATACAACCTGGGGAGATACAGCCGTCTGGTGTGTTATCCCTGGCTGATCTCTGAAAAATGTATTTAAAAGAAGTAGAGCCTCCAGAGCCTCAGCCCTCTCACAATACTTCTAGGGAGAAAACCTGAACCTGACCCCCTCTTCAAAGAACTGGGGATGTCTTGGGTAGAAAGCAATTTATAAGGCCAAAGTTTAATTGGGGGAGGTTCTTGAAAAGTTTGGGGGATTGCCTGCCTCCTGTTTTTTCCCTCCAGGTGATGAAATCCCAGTTGTAAAGCTCTGCCTCTAATCTGAAGGGAAAAATATATACAAAATGGTTTTTTTTTTTTTTTATTTTTTTTTATTTTTTTTTTTACTCCTCTTGCCTTGCGCTATGACTCCTTGTTCTTCCTCCTTCACTCCTCTTTGGTACAATAATTCATCCTCCTCTTTCTCCTAGTCCCAATCCTACGGAGGAGCTCTGTCATGTGTTCCTGTAATCACCTCTTTAGCTATGTGCATTGGTTAAAGGAACTCCAAGCACCATAATCACTACAGCTGGGGTATCTTGGTGCACGCTTCATGTTGCCTTACAAACAACTAACATTTTATGTAACAATAGCATTGTGACTGTGACTGCAAATGTAATATACAGGAGCATATACGAAAACTGACATACTGTGTGCAAAAAGTTTTATAAAATGACATAATCAAAGTGGTAATCTTGTATTCTTGTATTTGGAGCAGTGTCGTTGCTAAAGAATGCCTTTTGGGTGGGTAGGTAAACACCAGAGATTCTAGATGTCTGAGCCCAACCGTGCTTTTAAATACCTTCCGATGACCTACTGTTTTTCTACATTTTGAATGATGTAGACAGTAGAGTTGAGCGAACACCTGGATGTTCGGGTTCGGCCGAACTTTGATTAAAAAAAAAAAAAAAGTCCGGGTTCATGATCGAACTTGACCCCGAACCTCATTGAAGTCAATTGGGACCCGAACCTTTGGCTACAAAAATGCCTCTAAAGTCCTGGAAAGGGCTAGAGTGCTGCAAAAGGAAGTAAAATGGGGGTAAGAGTAGGACAAGTGCTCTGCAAACAAATGTGGATAGGGAAATCACAGGAGGCAAAGAGAATGCCCTGCAATCCTAGGTGGCGGAAGGACATGCGCCAAACTGCTATCTGCCTCAGGCCCAGCCGCCACTACATTTGCCCAGTGTGCAGTTAGGGAGATATAGCGTCCCTGCCCGTGCTTACTGGTCTACGTATCTGTGGTTATGTGGACCTTGCCACAGATGGAGTTGCGCAGTGCACACCTGATTTTGTCCGCCAATTGGTTGTGCAGGGAAGGGATGGCTCGCCTGGAAAAGTAGTGGCGGCTGGGAACCACGTACTGTGGGACAGCCGCCATCAGGTTTTTAAAACGGTCAGTCTCCACCAGACGGAATGACAGCATTTTGAAATGCTGGCATTCAGGGCCAGGGATCGCGGGTGGGTAGGGGCGTACTTCCTCTTTCTCTCCAGTGTTTGGGAGATGGACAGCTGAATGCTTCTATGGGACAGTGTTGAGATGCTTGGGGATGGTGGCGCATGTGGTGGCGTTGCTGCCACATCCTCTGTTTGCAGGGTGGCAGGTGCCACTGTCACTCGAGAGGTGGAGGAAGAGGCAGAGACAGCAGCAAAAGAGGAAGCAGGAGGAGCCTGCACCCTGCTCCCTCTTATGCTGTGCTGGTGCCTCTGTGCGACCACCGCCTCTTCCTCCAAACTGCACACGTCACTCTCATGACCTTCATTCCATGTGTGGTCTAGGACCTCATCATCCTCCACATCATCTTCCACCCACTTCACAACCCTGCCCTCCTTGCCGGTCTGCACACTGCAGAAAGCCACAGTAGTTGGCACCTGTGTTTCGTCATCATCCGAGACGTGCTGCGGTGGTCCTTGCTTGTCCACATCCTGACACATAAGTGGTTGTGCATCAGTGCACTCAAGCTCTTCCACTTCTGGGGCAGGGCTAGGTGGATGGCCCACGGAAACCCCGCCAGCAGAGTCATCAAAAAGCATAAGAGACTGCTGCATGATTTATGGCTCAGACTCCTTTGCTGATTTGCAAGGGGGTGAGGTGAAAGACAGATGGCCATGGGCTGCAGGTGCCAACTCTGAGCTTTCAGCATGGGGCCGGGTGGGAGACAATGTGCAGGAACTGGAGGCACTGTCAGCCATCCAATCTACTATCGCCTGTACTTGTTCTGGCCTCACCATTCGTAGAGCGGCATTCGGGCCTACCAAATAACGCTGAAGGTTCTGTCGCCTACTCGCACCTGAGGAACGTGTTTCACTTGTGCGTGTAGCTGGCACAGATCAACCACGTCCTCTCCTTGCAACAGGAGCTCCACCAGCAGCACCACGACCAGGGCCACATCCCTTATTTGACGCTTTCCTCATTCTTTTGCGTTCACCGACCAAACTAATAGATGGTTTATGTCAGGCGACAATATAACCGCCAATAGTCCAAAATTTTTTTTTTTTTATTTATTTATTTTTTAAATGTTTATTGGACTGCAAGAAATGCACCGCAGGCTGCAAATGTAATGTTTAGCACCCAGAAAATAAGAATGTTTGTTTACAATTGCGCTGTAAGCGCACTATTTGACGCTTCTATTTAACTCTCGGATATGAAGTGCACCCCACTAATGTACTAGTTTGCAGAATTCTTTCCTAAGCTGTCCCTCACAGCGGCAGCATCCTCTCCCTACACTAAGACCTCGTGTGTGCGGCGCTACACGACTCCAGCTTATATATAGAGGCTTGGTCACATGCTGCACTGACTAATCACAGCCATGCCATAAGTAGGCATGGCTGTGATGGCTTCTAAGGGCACACGAGTCAAATATTTGTTGATTGACTGCCCTGCAGCCTTTGAAAACGCGCCATTAAATCTCCGAACAACGAACTCTAACCTGAACATACAGTGATATGTCAGTGTTCGGGTCCTGGGTACAAACTTTACAGTCTGGGTTCGCTCAACTTTAGCAGGCAGTATTATAAACTTTAAATGTTGGCATAAAGTATTTTTATTTTATCACAGAATTCTTTTGTATGATCACCTGGCGGAGAAACTCTCCAGGAATGTGACAGTAAAACATGTAGTGTATGTGATGTCAATCTGTATCTTTAGGCATGACTTTGGCTTTATTCACCTCCTACAAGAGTGGATCAACAGCTGAGTGATACCAGCTCAATGCCTGGCGCTAAGCATTCATTTTGACTTAACAGAGAAACACAAAATCTGAAACGTGTAATCCAAAGAAATTATTAGAACCGGCAAAAGCGCTGTAGCTTCCCTGTGGCTATTCTCCAGAAAGTCCTTTTATGCAAATGGTATAGTTTCCAATGGTAAATTAGACTGATCGTACCGATAAACTTGAATCAGGCCTGAGATGCTCTCCACAGGTTTGCCTTGCTGTGCCCTTGTCCTCTGTTATTACATCTGTCCAAATCTACAAGCCATTCACTGGACACCTCTGCTACTCGTGCAAACCTTGAACTTTGTATGCGATCACCAGCAGACAATTGAGTTCCCTGCCTGGTTCAACATGAAACATGCAGGAGTATCTGTATGCACATTGGAGGAATCTTCTTTGTTGCCTACCCAATCACCGCTAATGTGTATCCAATCTAGAAGACATTTGGGGCCACTTTATTTTTTTATTTTTTTTTATTTGCTAAAATATGCATGAATGACATGGTTTTTAAAGTGTTTATTTTTATTATATTTTTAACTGAACATTTTTTGTAATTTTTTTTTTTTATCTTCCTGCAGTTACTCAGTGGTATATTTTAGGAGTATGCTTTTGCAAGTGTAATTTTAAGGAGATCTGGACTTAAATCTCCCTTTCCTACTTTGTTATCCTATATATTAGACCTCCCCACTCTGATTGTCCCGAGAGGTGCCTTTAGATGCTAATGAAGGCCACCGCAGAAAAAGCTATACCCAAAGTATGAACACATTGTTTTGCCCTTCGGTAGTCTGTTTGTGTTGAAAGGAGCTGTCTGTTCACCTGGCCAAACCAGGCTGCTATTTAATTAAACATTCTCTCAATGGTCCTCCACTTCTAGAGGCTGACACAAATGCATTGTCATTTATCTTAATGATTTAAAGTCTAAAAACATTAGTAACACTTAAATCCAGGGGCTATTTTTGATTTTTGCTGTTTTGGTTTTTTTTTTTTCCTTGCCTTGGATCTGAATCCTACAACAGTGTTTAGTACTATAATTACTGCTAACTATATTTATATTTCACTTTTTAAAGGAACACTATAGTGCCCTGAGGGTGCTCCCACCGGGCTCTAGGGGGAGGAAGGGGTTAAACTTACCTCTTTCTCCAGTGTCGGGTGGGGAGCTCTCCGCCTCCTCTCCTCCTCTTCGGCTGAAAGCGCATGCGTGGCAAGAGCCAAGCGCATTCAGCCAGTCCATAGGAAAGCATTCACAATGCCTTCCTATGGATGCAAGCGTCTTCTCACTGTGAAAATCCCAGTGAGAAGCGCGGAAGCCATCTAGCGACTAGAGGCTGTATTAACCCTATTATAAACACAGCAGTTTCTCTGAAGTGGGTTGAGCATGACTCACTAGACTTTTTTATATGACCACTTAAGTCGTCCTGGGTGAAGTTATGGCAAAACCAGGTTTAGGTTCAGACTAATCTTTATTTTTGCAATCGTTTTGGCAAAAACTATTTGCGTGAGTCAAACTGGCGTGCAAGTTATAATATAAATATTGCATGTATAGTCAGTACATTGACAGCACCATTTTGTTAACAGATAAAATCAGAATAAATAACCAACAGAGCATGAGAGGAGAAATGTAAAAAAATAAGTTTCTTTGAAATATTTCCATATTTATTTATATTGGAGGGGGTCCTCTCTAATGACAAGCACACCCCCACTCAAAGTGAGCATGCTGGTTTAATGCACTTTCAGGTTAGCCCATGTGCAGAGCTCACGTGAGAAAAATACCACAAGAAAAAAGGTCCAGGAAAGTGTATTGTGCATATGTTTGGAGACTGCTTGTGGGTAGAGTGAGGTGTTTTGTGTAAATAGGTCAGTTTCAGTTGCGCGTGTGTGCAAAACAAAAACATATTTTATTTCTCCTCCCTCCTTTTCTTTTGCTCAGTGAGGGAGAGGTGTATTGCTTACAAATCCTGATGGTCCTAGTGGTGAGTGAACATTACAAACTTCTGAAGCTAAAGTTCAATCTCTCCATCAGAGCGTTGAAATGGTAACTGCAGCAATGCTCCGACCTCGCAAGAAAACCCGGCGGAGCTGCTGGCCTTGTTTTGTGTCAGTTTCAATTGTCAGTTTTAAGACTTGTGCATTCGCTTTAAAACTAATCGCCATCTATGCCAATAATAGTCTGAAAAGGTAAATGACTGGCAGATGCAAACTTTCTATACAGAGCTGTGATAAATGTACGGAACACTGAACAGTCACAGAAAAGAGCATAATTTTGTATAAGCATAAATCTGCTTAAAGAGATCACTTTCTACTTCAGTGCTCATAAACCAGTCTCTTAGCGTCTTTTTGTTAGGTATATGGGAGAGATTAAGCTAAATATTTAATGATCAAATAGGTCTTCACTCTAAAGTTTGTGTCACAGGTAAAATTGATATAGACATTGTGATGGCAAATGTAAAGACTTTGAAAATCTGGTCCATCACCTTAACTGTCAATCAATTATCATAGTGGAGGTACACTTCTTTTTCATTGTAGTTTTTATAACTGTCTTTTCATTGTAATTTTCTGTAAAAGTGCCCATTGAGCCAAATTAGTGGCAATACTTTATTCTTATGTTCCAAGCAAATTATCTCCTCAACGGACTTAAATGTCAACACCGCTATGTAATATTTGAAATTCTGTAGGATGTGTAACGGAAGTATTGTTTTGAAATAGCCACTTGATCTGTATGTATCTCTACTTTACTCACCATTCTGTGTATTTGAACCTCTTCCATATGCATATTTATCTACTATGCAACTATTATATGCATAAAAAATTTGTCTAGACCGGAATTCTTCATAATTGGCATAAAGACATGACATTTAAAGGGAAAACACACTTCCTTGCGCCCCTCACTCAGTCCAGCGTTTATGTAGTTCGCCGCTGGCTCGGCTCCAGCTTTGCTCACGTTAGGGTTTCCATATAGGAAAGCTTTATACAATGCTTTCCTATGTGGATTCGGGTGACACAAAGTATTAACGCATAATGTGAGGACATCCAGTGGCAGTTAGGCGAAAGTTGCCTAACAGCCCGGATGTTATGTCTGTCTGATCTTAAACTGCAATAATTACCCTTGCAGTGTTAAGGGACAAGGGACATTACACCTAGACCACTTCAACGAGATGGTCTGGGTGCCTATAGTGTTGCTTTAATTATTCTCTAGAATTTCACTATTTGTGTGCACTGTACACTTATTTACTTCCTTGCTGAAATAACCCGCACACTTTCCAGCCAATCTGAGATTTGCTTAAACACCATTGCATCCCTTCCGACATTTTAAATGGACAAAGAGGGACACTTTAATTTTAGAAGTGTGTGTGTGGCTGTTCTGAGAAATGTTGGGTGACTTACTAATTATATACGACCAAAATGTAATTTAGAACAATGCATCTTTAAACTGTGTTTTGAGTTCTAGGAGCTCCTAGAAAAGAGGGACATTGAGGTGTAAAAGAGGGATTTGGGTCCAAAAACAGGGATTATTACAACAAAATAGGTACACTTGGGAGATGTCATTGCCACCGCTTAAAAATAACCCTTTCAGCATCATTAAAGTCTGCTTTACCATTCAAGGAGCTTAAAGTAGTTTAATGTGTTTAGGTGTCCCTGTGCCCCCCCAATGCAGCCACATATTGCTAAAATGGCTGCCAGTACCTCAGGAGTAAACATAGGCTCAGATTCCCTTGATCATTATACTGTTGAGATGCTGATCTTCTGTCCTGTAATCTTGGCCGGACCAAACCCAGGAAGTCCCTCTAGTGGCTGACGAAGTGAGTCACCAGAGATGGTCATATGCAGCTGTGTAAACACAGCATTTTCTCTGAATTCTATTCAAATCACCAACAGTACTTTACAAACCAAATTTGTTCCATAAATTCTCCTAAATCACAACACTCTGCAATCGACTTTCTCTTGGCACCAACACTTCTGATTTTCACTTCTGAAATTACCTGAGATCAAGGCAAATTTTTTTTTTTTTTTTTTATGATTACACTAGGTCATACATCTCTAACTTAAGTAACTTTGCACACTTTGTTTCTACCCCCCCCATCCTCTCTCTCCCAGGGTACAGTGGTCTATCTTGTCACCTCTTTTCCCTTCTGGCACATCCTCTTTTGTTTCTCCACCTCACTTCCTCTTCTTCAGCTCTTGTTGAGGTTAACCCCTGATAAGGGGGCACCATAACCACTTACAGAAAGCTACTGTCTAGACACTTTCTGCCACCTAATGATCTCCAAAGTCAGGCAAAATTTGTACTGATAAAACAATGTGAATGTCTGCTTTAGCAATATCTCAGAAGACTGGAAGGAGAATAAGTGCACAAGGGAACTAGAAAAGTGTCAAACCATTCAAAAATGGGTTGACTGCTTACCATGGGATTACACCAGGGGAATTCTGACCTTATAGTTATTAGTGCCCTTTAACTGCTGGTTTTAAACTTCCATGTAAAGTGGAATGGGGGTGGTATACTGGAACTATTTACATAATACCAATTCCTGATCAGGAGTTGATGTAGTAGACATTCAGAGTAGAGTGCATCACAACCTTTTCTATCTTGGTCTGCATGGTTTATTCCAGTGAATAGGAATGCACTGTAATGCAGATTGTCTAACACTTATTTTTCTCTACATGTATTTTTGTGTCTTCCCTGCTATGAAATTACAGACCATAACCAACCCCAGTTTACTAATTTTTCTAATGTTGCTACCAGTCACATAAACAAGACTACTTAAGTATTAAAATTTTTATTTTATTTTTTTGTGGTGGTTTTTGGCTTCCCCTTTACTGGTCATTCTTCTCAACACCTTGACATACTATAAACTCCAATTTTAGGAAATTAAAAAAAAATTGCATTGCATGACTAGTTACAATATTGTCTCTGGTTTTGTGTCCCCCTTCTACTCCTCCCCTCAATTTTTATCTTAGTTTTTTTTTTTTTTAATTAAATAACTTTTTTCTTATTTTGACAGGCTGGTATTGGGGAAATATGAGTGTTGGTGAGGCCAAGGAACGTTTGCAAGATTCTCCAGAGGGAACATTTCTTGTTCGTGACAGTTCACACACAGACTACCTTCTCACCATCTCTGTTAAAACCTCTGCGGGACCAACCAACTTGCGTATTGAATATCGAGAAGGGAAATTCAGATTGGACTCTGTCGTCTGTGTGAGGTCCAGGCTGAAGCAGTTTGATAGTGTTGTTCATCTTATTCAGTATTATGTTCTGCTGTCCAAGAATAAGAAGCTTGAATCGGAAACTCTTCCAAATAGGACAGTACACCTGTGGCTTGTGAAGCCACTCTACACATCTACTCCATCCTTGCAACATCTCTGCAGAATGACTGTTAATCAATATACAGCTAAAGTTAACGAATTACCATTGCCTACCAGACTGAAAGGTTATATTACAGAATATCGTTACCAGGTATAACACTTATTAATTGTGACTTCAGCATGTTAAACAATTCCTACAATCTGCTTCCAAACCCAGCCAAACGTTCACTTGGCAAAATGACTGGTTAAGGTTCTACACCACAGCGTCACTTCATTTCAAGAGGATTGTCGGACTTTATTGAATTCTACGACCATCTTCTCACTGTTCATTATATTGAAATCACATTGACTATTATACTTTGGTTTGTCTGTTATATACTGTATTAGAAATGTTCACCCCCATTTCCAGATGTTGAATGATGTGGTTGGAAAAAGTTGGGTTGAAAAGGCCAAAGATCACCATGGTGCCAAAGAGTGGTGGGCTCTTTCAGCCACTAATATTACAGCCTTGTATTAATTGCACTACAGTCCTAAATCTCCCCACCAACACCGACTCAAATACAATGTAGGATTGGTTTGTGGAAACACGTTATTAATGGGGGTCAATGTTTCACTCGATTGCTCACCACCTCATCCCCATTCCCTCTCTTCCCACCCCTCCCCCCATGGAAAACTCCAACTTGCAATAAAATTATACTTCTCATGTACTACATCTTATATTAAATAACGGATCTGAAAAGTAAGCATCAAATGTGCCATATATACAGGCCAGAATTGAGTGTATTTAATTGGTACTTTGTTTTAAACCTTTGTGTGTTTTTTTTAAAATAAACATTCTTAGACGTTATTTGTACTATACTTGAAACTCCATGTGACTTGACTAGGCATTTGCCTCTATAACAATATCCCATTTTGTGCTATGGATGTGACTGAACATTCATCTTAAATGGCATCCCCCAAATTATCCTGTGTTTAACACCATAAATTACAAAGTAAAATGCTGCAATATTTTTGAATGCATTCGACACCAGATTGTTTACAATTAATATTAACACGTTGAGAACTAGTGGTGTGTGTGGGTTTTTTTTTGTTTTTTTTTTTTATAATTTACTCTACTTTGAGTCCTAAAGCTTTTATACCAACATTGTCTCACCCACCTGCATACTTGGCACTGACCGATGTAGTGTCAACAAATGAGCTAGATATTCCAGAGGAAAAGCATCTAGGAGCTACTGCCAGGTTAAGAGCTATATTCAATTCTCCCCAATCAACCCATAGATTTAATTACATACAAAACCCACTCATCCAGTAATCCCTCAAATCTCAATGAAATAATTACTAGAGAAATGCAGATCTTGCTCCACATGCATGTATTCATATATAAGTTTTGGTCACACACTTGCTGATTTCATTTATCATCCCCTCTATTTGCTTGTAAAAGTGGCGAGTAGGGAGAAGAAACTTTGCTGTCTGTGGCAGTCCTTTGTATCTAGTGGTGTATAGTCCCATTGTTCCAAGTCAGGATGCCATTTGGGAGTGCTACAAATCCCTGGTGCGCTCTCATCAGCCAGAGCACACAAGCTAGCTCACAAACTGTATATGTGGACCATGTGGTGAAACATGTTCGGCATCATGTCCCACTTTTGTATTGCTGTGCCTTTGTGGAGCTCTGAATTTGTAAAGCACAACTGCCAAGGACCACTCCAGTGGCTTGTATATTTTTTCCTTCCGTTGTGAAAATCTGTACATTAAGTCTTAATTGAAGTAAAAGAAATACTGGATTTCAGCCTATCGTGGTAGTAACATAACTGGAAAGTAAGGTTTGGTTGAATCTGCTTTGAAATGGTCAACCATTCAAGTTTGGTATAAAGTTTTGTTTGAAGCAGGGGAGAGCAGACTTAGAAAATCTACCTTAAACTATGAATTTAAACAATACCTTGTGGCTTGGAAAAAGTAAACTGGGACAAAACCCTTTTTAAAACAATTTGCGAACTCTGCTCTTGCATGAGTCTTGTGTCATTTATATAAAAGCTACTTCAGTTGATTGCCATAAACCATGCTTGACGACAGTTGTCTGGGTCGGTCAAAGGGAAGTTCAAATGTAATTGGATACATTATAGCTGACCTCTACACGATTCCTTGGTGAGACCTGAACTTTAAAATGCAAGTTTCATGGGACTCAATCACTCATTAAGCTTATTCTGGTGGACATTTAAAAATAAAACTGAAAGGGGCAAATAGTGTCAAACCTATGTTTGTGTTAAAGTGCCCCAGTGACTAAAATGTTGCATAAGGCCTATTCCAAGGTTCTGAGTGATATTTGTTAAATGCTTTTGTGGGTATCTGAAAGTGTCAAGTAATCCTCAAAACTTTCACTTCTTGACAGGTCGAAGTCCTGTATTTGGGTTTTTGTCAGCATACGTGTCCCAGTCTTCGATGTGGTGGTATCCTGGGAGGTTCCCACAACTGATTTTTTTGAAGGTAGTGAGAAGCTGTGATAACGCTTGCATTGCCATGAACAATAATTGCTATTGGGGTGTTACTGTGCTCAAATTTGTGTTTTTTGTTTTTTTTCTTTTTAAATCTTGGTTTGTTCTTGTATTTTTCATGTACAGGACTGTTTAATACATGTGTAGATTATATACAAACATTATTTTGTTTTACCTAATGTGTTTTGTCTAAGGTGCCTTATTTTGGCTGGGCTTCTCTTGAGGCAAAACTGATTAAATGTACCAATATTCTAAAATATACCAATGAAGCTTGGCAAATATTGAAGCTTTGTTTAACCTGGTGATAGAGGTATAAAACATTCTTCTTTTTTGATTAGTACAGAAATCCTCAATTTTTAACTAGTAATGTTTTAAAGTGATAGTTATGGCACTCAAGCCTTTATTTCTTTTAATATTTACTGTCTTATGAAATATTGATCCTGAAATTACCTTTTGGCGACTTAAGTACAAGAGAACAACCTATCTCTGGTAGTCTAGATGGTTGGGCAGTGGGTGAATGAAGTTTGGGGACTTGTGGAGAAAAACTTTTTATAAGAGGGGGGGGGGGAAGGGATCCGTACATACTACAACTAATGGAAGCCTAATTGGCATGATGCACCAAACAGGAGGGTGACTGGAGTGCCCTTCGATGTGTATATGCTTGGGTGTCAATCTAAACAGACCAGACTTTGTGCACTCTATAGAAGATGGAATCCCTATTATCCATTTGTGTTCTGTAGGTTGAACATAATTATCTGCCTTATATTGCTAACTGTATAATTTATTGTATTATGATACGCACTAGAACTGTAAGATTGAGTGAAGAAATGTCTGGCAATTGCACTGGTAACACCTTGCATGTTACTAGCAGAGCGGACACTTCCCAGAACCACTGCTTGCCCTTAGTATAATATTAATCTGGTTATTCATATTTGGGGATCCAAAATGTCTCATGAAATGCAGCTAATGTTGCATTGAATTGCCCATTGGGTACGTCGGCAGTTGCTTCTCATGTCTACAGTGTAGACTTTTTTTTTTGTTTTGTTTTTTTAAATTACAAACTTCTCTATTTCACATGGTTTTTGTATTCTCTTGTTGTAACTATATGATTCAATGAAAACCTAGTAAATAAAGTCTGTATGCATAGTCTGTGTTCATTTTATTGTTTGCTCATAACGGACAAGTCACCAGATTAATACATCTGCAAGGTGCATTCAAATATTTTTATATATGAATATACTTTGCACAGTGTTTACATAACCATCTTTGTCTTTTTAGCCTGACCTATTTATGAAGTAACTAGGGCAATCGGTGCATAACACCTTATTTTTATATAACTAGCATTAGGAGGGGGGGAGGAGGAGCAGAAATATTTTACTCTGAATGAAATTACAGGTTTCCCTGGTGCTAACGCCGGTCGGATATTGGTACTGTGCTCCACTGAATACAAAACTAGTCAAGCAGATAATGTCCCGTGAGTCAGAGTTCCAATCAGTGGATAGCTGCAACTTTGAGCTGAGGGAGAAGAGAGCAAGTACAAATTAATGGATTCCCTCCTCCCTTGTACAAAATTCACAGATCTTTGGGATCATGATCCTAGTTGTGTGGGATGTTTGAGATATATATCTATAAAAAAAAGTCATATTATAAATAATGAAGGCTGTTTGTGTTGTACTGTATGCCATCACTATGACCGCACAGAATTAAAGAACATTTAATAGAGCATTGTGCATGCAGAATAGACACTCGGTTTCCCACACTTCCACCAACTTCATCGCCATGAACATTTTATGCGCCATGATCACGTTCTTGTCTCAGTCTGGAGCCATTGGGAAATCTCCTCCATGGGTATCGTACATACTCATTGGCGTCTGGTTGCCTGATCAAGTGTGGACCACAATACTCTGTTATAGATCACTTACTGCCTCATATCGAGGTACCACTGGGAAATATTCCAGCAAGTCTGTGAGAGAGTTTAGAGAGTGCAGGCCAGCAGCACATGCTCTAGCCCATATGGTTCTGAGATGCCAATGGCTTTTTATAATTCCTGTTTCCTCACTCCCATAGATCTGTGCAAACAGACATCCCAACACATTTTAACGTTCAGAAGAATGGTTTAATGATGCAGCCCACAAACCCCTTGCCAGCCTTCCTATGGAGCCACAGCCACATTTACCCTCCTTGCTGCCACAATGTGTGTGTGCGCAATGTGGTGTGGTTTTTTTTTTCTTTTTTTTTTCTTTGATTTGTGTGTGGTAAGTTGCTTGTAGGGTTCTGTGGGAGGTGCTGCATGTGTGGTTGTTGGTTATGTTTATAAGTGCTGTTTGTAATGCAATATGTGAGTTGGCATGTAAATAGGAGCTGTAGTGTTTGGGGGGGGAGGGGGATATTGGCTGTAAGGTGTATTTGGTGGTACGGTGGGGTGGGGCTATAGTGTGTGTCTGGGGCTGCAAAGTGCGTGTGCATGGAAACTGGAGTTGTAGAAACTGTGTAGAAGTATCAGGTCTGTAGTGTATGTATGCAGGCAATAGGGGCTGTTCTGTGCTTATAGGGACTATTTGTTGGGGGAGATGGCTGTGGTGTGGGTGGCAGGGGCCGTGGTTGGAGGAAAGGGGCTGAGAAGAAAAGCAAAGTGTAGTAATTTCAAAAATGTGGCTTATAAATATGGATAAAGTAAAAACACTCACAAGTATAGAGGTTCTTATGAGCTCAAGACAGAGTGTAGCGGCACATTCCCCATCTACAACCAGTGGTGTATCCTGGTTTTGTGCTGCCCTAGGCAGGACAAAACTCAGGCACCCCCCCGCGCCACCCCCACCCGCGCAACCGCCACCCAACCTTCCCCCCTGCTCCGCCTTCTAAATACACACACACACATTCACTGACAGATACGCATTCACTAGCTAACAGAAACACACAGTCACTAACAGACACACACACTCACAGGCAAACACACACACTCACAGGCAAACAGACATCCACACTAACAGACATCCACACTAACAGACATCCACACTAACAGACATCCACACTAACAGACATCCACACTAACAGACATCCACACTAACATACACTAACACTACACACTAACACTAACATACACACTAACACTAACAGACACACACACTAACACTAACATACACACTAACAGACACAAACACTAACATACACACACACACTAACAGACACACTAACATACACACACTAACAGACATCCACACACACACACTAACAGACACAAACACTAACATACACACACTAACAGACATCCACACACTAACATACATACACACACACACTAACATACATACACACACTAGTGTTTTTTTTTTGTTTTTTTATTTAACCCCCCCCAGCCTCCTTACCTTTGGTAATGCTGGGGGGGGTTCTTCCTCTCCCTGGGGTCCAGTGGCTGCAGCGCTGGGCGGGCGGCGGCCGGCGAGGGAGCTCTTCCCCTGAGCGCTCTGCTCAGCTCCCTCGCGCGCCGCCAGCAGAGTGAGGCTGGGAGCCGGAATATGACGTCATCTTCCGGCTCCCGGCCTCACTCTGCTGGCGGCGCGCGAGGGAGCTGAGCAGAGCGCTCAGGGGAAGAGCTCCCTCGCCGGCCGCCGCCCAGCGCTGCAGCCACTGCCGCCCAGCGCCCAGAATGTCAGTTAGCCGCTAACAAGACATTTGCCTTGGGCATTTGGGGGGCGGCGTTTTTTGCCGCCCCCTGAAAAATGCCGCCCAAGGCAAATGCCTTGTTTGCCTCGCGGCTAATACGCCCCTGTCTACAACTATGCATCCTCTTCTATACGGTGCTCACTTTATATTGACATAAACAAACAATAGAGTACTGCAGTCTTTGGAGCAATGTAGTTGCGCTGTAGAATTAGTGTAGGTGGTATAATCCCCACCAGAGATGTGTGTTCCCAGAATCCAAGCACAGGTAATCAGGAGCAATATAGAATACACAAAAAAAATCTATTGAACATAGCTGAAATATTGTATAATACTGTTTGCCATCTAAATAAGCTCTTTTTTTTTTTTTTTTAAGTGTATCTCTTACCTTAAAGCCTTTCATTGTCAAAATGAGTTGTGTGTGATTATCTTAGCTTTTTTTTTTTTTTTGGTGAGGTTATGCAAAACACACGAGAGCAAGCTTTATGTCAGCACAGCAGGATATATGATAGAAATACCTCATTTATACCTCAATATTAATAAGGGGACTCTGGAGTGCTTGAGACCCAGTCGCCGAGCTTAGCTTGGTCCTCTGAAAGCCTCTTCCACTGGACCAGGCTGCAGCTCTCTCCTTCCAGGCAGGTTTTGTCCCCTTTGCCTTTTTTTCCTTCTTCTGTTTCTCTCCTAGGCAGGTATCAACACCCTTAAAAAGGGAATTGTGTCTCTCAGGCCTAGCTCCTTCATTAGGCCCAGAGATCCTTAGACCATTGCAGCAAGGTCCTAAACCTCTGTTACCATTATCCCTGAACAAACCACACAGGACAAACCGTTCACTAGGGAACTAACACAAACTGAAGAACAAGCAACATGATGCGTAAAATATAGAACACAATCAGAACAAACACAGATATACAGGTGCAACTGTTTTTATTTTTTTTTTATTTTAAATTTCCTGCAACAGTGGCAAACCCAAACCCAGGGGTGAAACCAGTACAAATGGCCTCCGTGTACTTGCCTCCCCAAAGCAGAGCCCTCTTTCAGGCCAGGGCCCATAGTCAATGGGAAGGAAGCTGACCTGCAGTCCTCTTGAAGTACCAAGGTAACTGAGGCTTCCGTTACAGGCTATATTACTAAGTGGTATGTGTTAAAATGTATAAGGATTAATGCAAGATGCCTAAGGTATGATCCCAGTCCCCAAACCAAGATCAGTCGATACAGACTGGTTTCAGAACACAGTCCTGCGGTACCACTGCCTTCCGGAGAGACAGGATCCTCATCCCTCTGCAGAAGGGTCCATGCAGCCTTAGCAAGGAGGTCCCCAGTATAATATAAGGTTTCCCTCTCGAGCAGTTGCAGTAAATAGTCTGACTACCAGCTGCGTTTTACATGGAGGTAAGGTAGGGGGTCTGTCACTGGTGCAAGGAAGGATGAAGCCCATAGTGTAGCTTCTGTCAAAAATCAGCAGAAACCTGGTCCAGACGGGCCGTGTTATTGAAGAGCAGGACTTGGGGTGTCAAGGAGCACATGGCATCCACCACACTGAAATGTTGAATGCACTGATCAATTTTCTCCTCCATAGGGTAAATGTGGCCCAGTAGCAATAGGTGTCTAGATACCCCATACCGGACGCATGGGAATGGGATGGAGATCAAAGGCTGGTATAGCATCAGCTGCTATACCAGCAGTATATATCAGCTGCTTCTCTCTCTGCAGTGCCACCACGAGGTTCTAAACTAGGCTGCAGAATCTTCTCCACCAGCAAACCATGTGGACATGTTTGCCTCTAAAATGACACAGCTCCACTATTAGTCTACCAGCATATAGAAGACTCTGCTCTGCACCCAATTGCCACCCGGCCAGAAAGCATTAATCAATGCTTTCCTATGGGGAAAATCTGACACTGGAGATCCTCATGCAGAGCGTGAGAACGTCCAGCACCGGATAACTGACCAAAAGTCAGTTTCAATTCCGGAAGCGCTCTGGTGGTAGGCAGCCACTGAGGGCCGATTTAGAGCTGCAATGTAAACATTGCAGTTCTCTGGAATTGCAATGTTTTACATTGCAGCATGAGCTGCAAAAGTGACACTGCATCCAGACCACTTCAATTAGCTGAAGTGGTCTGGTTGCCCTTTAAGCAGAGTGGAAGTCTTCAAAATATCATTAAATTCAATTCGCTGTGCAGAGATCAGAAGATATGTGATTGTATTTTATACAGTATTTGTTATTTTATACAGTATTTTGTCTATTTCTTACCAGAATTTTTTTGTTTGTTTATTTTTACTCATGAATATGTGTTGGTATGAACACGTTTTATCTGTGTATATTTACTTATCATCAATGGCCTATATGTAGAAAAGGTTATTGTCTCGAAACGTCCACCACTGTGACCAAAGTTACCCAACTCAGCATACTCATATGTAACCACTATAGAAACGGCACCTAGGAAAATACACCATACTTTACACCAGATGTGAGGTTTGT